CTCACATACTCACAGTAGTTTCGTTGTGTTTGTTTTTTCGGAGTGCCCTGTCCTATGGATTTTTAAAAAGGTATTCCAGTTGCCTGACTTGATTAAATAAACAAATATACCTATTTACCATAATGCTCCTCATGTACTCGGCATGAAAACCCACTAGTGACTCTACTGTCCTCTTGCATTTGATTCTGGTCCACTGCAATTCCCATCAGCCCCACATCTGGCTGGTTGCAACTTGCAGCTACCTTCCTAACCAGTCAGACAGCTCAGTCTTCTTCTTGGGCTGCAAGTCTGACCTTTCCCAGCCTGCATACAAAAGGGGTAAAGATGTTGGGAGATGCAGCCTGGCAAATAGGCTGAGCTTTTCATTTGTTTTAGAGGAGAGTCACACTTTTAGTTGTGGGTGGGAATCATGCAACTCTCCCAATGTGGATGAATGGCATCTCCCATCATCCTTTTATATAGCCCCTATGACTAACAGTATTTAAAGTTGAGTTGTGAAGCTGATGCGATCCAAGCTAGGTCCAGGTCCACTGTTGGTGGGATTCATATGGCTCACTGGAAGTAGGTGGACTACAACTCCCATCATCCTGTCAACATCCCCCCCCCCCAAACTCCACCAGTACTTTAAGTTGGACCATGAAGGATACGTGTGCCAAATTTGGTCCAAATCCATCAAGCCGTGTAGGAGCCTTTGTGGTTCAAATATACAAACATACATATGTTGACTTTTAGATAAAGAGAAGTTTTACATTCTAGTTGCATTTCTGAGTTTATTCTCAGATACTTTTTGCCTGATCTTTTGTGGAAGGGAAACATATATAATTAAGAAATAATAATCTTATCCAAGAAACAATATCAGACTTTATTCACTTAATTTAGGATTCAAACTCATAGATAACTCTGCCATTGGTGAAACAGGAATTCAGATTTATTTTTTCATGTTTTTTACACATATCAATTCATATCACCTATTGTGAGCTTGTCCAACTTTACACATACTTAGCAATGTAGCAAAGGTGATAAGGAATCCTGTTAGTGAATTGTAGGGCTGTGTAACAAGACTGCACCAAAGTATGCCAATGCATATTGATTTTGTCCTACATTTAGTAACTTTCCTGGTCAACCTATGTAGTAATGTGGCAGCAACTCCTTGTTGAGGAATTGATTAATTTTGTTTCCTGCACATGTAAATTCCTAAGGAAATTCTGGCCATCATCTTCTCCCATCTCAGGAAACTTACCTGTTCTATTGTGTATTGCACCATACTCCCAACATTGCAGTTCTTGCTTTCCGAAGCACAACTTTCACCTTCCCCCGGTGGCGCAATGGTGTAAACCCTGGTGCCGGCAGGACTGCTGACTGAAAGGTTGACGGTTCGAATCTGGGGAGTGGGGTGAGCTCCGCTCTGGCAACTCTAGCTTCCCATATGGGGATATGAGCGAAGCCTCCCATAGGATGGTAACTAATCTGGGCGTCCCATGGGCCACATCTTTGCAGACGGCCAATTCTCTCGCACCAAAAGCAATCTTCACCTCAATAGTCCTGCTGGACATCAGGCCGGCACAACCTGTGGCCCTCCAGGTGTTTTGGGCTTTGGCTTCCAGAATTCTTGATAATTGGAGAAACTGCTTAGGACTTCTGGAAATTGGGAGTTCCAAACACTTGAAGGGCCACAGGTTGTGGAGCACTGATCTACATACAAGACACAAAATGAAAATAGCATTCTTCTATTCCCTGTATGGTTCTAGTCTTCCCTTTCAAGATGGTTTTAGTTGTAGTTGCTGCTTGTTGTGTTTGGACTCCATGGTAGCCAAAAAACTGAGAGGTTTTGGCTACTACCTTGAGTAAATGCCACATTCTTCACATCCTGATTGCGTGGTGTCTATGACAGGATGTCAACCAAGTAGCTGAAGAGGGTCATCAGGAAGCTAAAGCTACTGTCATGTGCATTACTATTGTGATGGGTGAGTCACTAAATGGTACTGATGTGATCAAATTTGCTTGGCATATAATTCATAGCAAACACCCAGGTTTTTTTTATTGCTGGTTTCTTGTAAGACCCATGAACAAGAGACATCACAGGCAGAGGAATCATAGTGATTTTCAGAGTTTTAACCATTTATTTTAATACTGTTTAATTCTATTTTAATGTTTGTATATTTTTAGGTTTCAATTGTATTGTATTGGTTTCACTGTGAGCTACTTTGAATCCTTTTTTGGAGAGAAAAAGTGGGATATAAATAATAATGATAATAATAATAATAATTCTATCTCACCACTCTTACTAAACTTAATCTTCTGCTGCTACTACTTTTCAAATAGATTTTCATGTTATGTCTACAAATGGTGAACAGCTGCATTGTAGACACTTATTTTCCATCACTAATCCAGTAGTCTAGCTTCACAAAGCACACATATAGAACTGCAATAACAGCATTCAAGTGACTGATTTTGGTGAATTTATATCAACATAAAGAGAGTTTTGGAAAAAGAATTATTGGACCTCAATGCAGATATACTTTTATAGTGCAAAAGGTGCTCCTTGGCTGAAAGTTGCACAAAGGTAATTTAGCTGCAAACCAGTAGCCTTGGGCTGTACTATGCATGGGTGCTCCATGAATGCCAAAATCAGAAACTCTTGTGAAAGTCAATGATTTCATTCCAGCTCCCTTTAAAATAGTATCAGTTGAGATTAATACTTATTTCACCATTTACCAAGTAATCATCAAGAAAAAAATAACACTGACCAACTCAAATGTTAGACCTGTTTCTGGATATATCTGATCTTCTGATTCCAAAAAAATGTTACCAGTTCCCCCCTATCAGTGCTAGTTTTTGCAGTACAGGGCATATGTCATACACCAGTCTTCATCCACATGCCTATCAGAAATCATGGTAACCATATCTAAGAAACTAAAAGCTAATGTGGTCTATCCAATATACTTTTCTAAATCAGAACTCCAAATAACTCCCAAGAACAGGTCTGAAAAACATGACACAAAGAAAAAAATGTGGGTTGGGCTATGTAATAATCCACTCTGTACAAATGAAGTGCACACCTGAGTTGCCAGCAGGACAAAGGTTGCCCTTCTTGCCAGAGTTTCACTCCTGATATTTTATTTGGTTCTGTATAAAAAAGGAATGAAAGGACCTTTTATTTGCTAGGAAACTTGAGAACATTTCCTTTCCTTCATTTCTAACAAAACGTCTTTAAGTTATGACTTTAGTTATGCAGGAGGCTGTAGGAGTAGGAGATAAAAGAATTGAAACAATGCTGTGAGAGCTTTAATAAATAGTCCTGTATGATTTTTGAATACAGCCTAGCTGCTACTTCTGGTCTGTTCTGGAAACTGCAAAGTGACGGCCTTGGGAGTACAGCACTGAATTATCCCCTTTCCCTCCCCCAGATGCAGACTGTGGCCAGGAAATCAGAAGACGCTTACTTCTTGGGAGGAGAGCAATGTCCAATCTCGATAAAATAGTAAAGAGTAGAGACATCACACTGGCAACAAAGATCCGCATAGTCAAAGCCATGGTATTCCCTGTAGTAACCTACGGATGTGAGAGCTGGACCTTAGGGAAGGCTGAGTGAAGGAAGATAGATGCTTTTGAACTGTGGTGTTGGAGGAAAGTTCTGAGAGTGCCTTGGACTGCGAGAAGATCCAACCAGTCCATCCTCCAGGAAATAAAGCCCAACTGCTAATTGGAGGGAAGGATACTAGAGACAAAGTTGAAGTACTCTGGCCACATCATGAGGACATAGCAAAACCTAGAGAAGACAATTATGCTGGGGAAAGTGGAAGGTAAAAGGAAGGGGGGCCGACCAAGGGCAAGATGGATGGATGGCATCCTTGAAGTAACTGGACTGACCTTGAAGGAGCTGGGGGTGGTGACGGCCGACAGGGAGCTCTGGCGTGGGCTGGTCCATGAGGTCACGAAGAGTCGGAGATGACTGAACGAATGAACAACAACAACCTCCCCCACAAATTCTTGTCCTGATGAAGCCTTGCTCAAAACCTATTCCACCAGAATAAGTGATGGATAAATTCTGACAAGTGTTAAAAAAGGAGGGGAAATGTAGCAATTGACTGATTCTTCATCTCTATGGCTCACTCTAGCCCAGGGGTCCTCAAACTTCAGACTGTTGGGGGACAGGCTACAGTTTGAAAAAAAAGCATGAACAAATGCCTATGAACACTGCACATTTCATATTTGTAGTGTAAAAAACCATGAAAGAACAATACAATATTTACAATGAAGAACAATTTTAACCAAAATAAATTTGTCACTATTTCAATGCAAAGTGTGGGCCTGCTTTTGGCTGATGAGATGGTCAAGTTAATTAGGATTGTTGTTGCTGTGTGCCTTCAAGTCTTTTCAGACTCAGGGTGAACCCAAGTCTTCTTTGGAGGGCTGCATCCTGCCCATGGGGCTTAGTTTGGGGACCCCTGCTCTAGCCCCCAATATAAACTATACACACATTATTTTTGTTGCTAAAGACCTGCACAAATTCTCCAATCCTGGAGATATCTGATCTTATTTGCTTCTTAAAATATGTAAAAGAGAATAGAGGTTATGGGCAAATAGGATTTTGACCAAGCAGTTCACTTTACTATGAAGGTGGGAGAAGATTTTGAATATTAATTTGTTGAGACACTGTGCTGTGTGTAAACTTTGTGTGAAACAGTATCTAATTTCTTTCCAAAATATTTCAGCTTTGCACACAGTATGAGACCCCTTTTGTATAACCTCCATTCCCTGGCACAATTCTAATAAAAACTATCCCTATCCAAATACCAGCAGTTGATGAAAAATGAAAAAACAAGGCTCTCTCATCCTGCATCAAGCCATTTAGTTCCTACCATTCAGTTGATGTTCACTGAGCTTTTACAAAAGGCACTGGTTGGTGTAGATTTGTGAATTGCATAAAGTAGCCTGACACAAAATATTTCCCTTACAAATGCACACACACAGAATTATTATGAAATCACAGGGAAATGTATGATTATGCTGTTTATTTCCAGAGAAACAAAGTATACTACTGCAGTGATCACAGAACATCTTCACATTTGATGCAAATATGAAAGAGCTATGTACAAACAAATTGTGGCACTAATTTTAAACAAAAGGAAACAACCCAAGCTTAAAATATTATATAAGATAAAACAGGATATATGCATAACTTTTGTAAGCTCCAACTGCACTGCAGTTGTATTAACTTGAGGACAAGTGCCATATTTTTTGTCATTCCCTCAGACGTAAGCATTAGACATTAATGTTAGTCAGCAATGTGTTTTACTGCAGAAAGTTAGTGCAATCTTTTTTACACCTTTCATTTCAATAATTCTAACTCTTTACTATCAACTAAGTCATTCAGAAAGCTCAGACATTCTCTTTCTAAACTATCATATACTTTAAGTGTTTTCATATTTATATGTATTTATATATACTTACATACAAAGCAATTTCACATTGTAATTAAACAGGAAAAATTTACAGCAAGATCTGATGGACGAGACTATCTTTTCAGGTGTTCATTTTATTGTGTTCCTGAAGTACTGTGGACTGAAGGAGCAGAATCGTGATCGGGCAAGAAAGTGACGGCAGGGGTGCCAGCCTCCGGAAGCACAGGTGCAAGTACATGACGGCACACAGGACACGTTCCTGACTAGATGAGAGAAAAATACCCCCAATTAATGGCAATGCAGCCTGGTATCTCAAGAATGTCAAAAAGTAGGCTTCAAATACATTTAGACTGACGACCTTTATGTAGGAGAACAAGTGAACTAAGGATCCAATTATGTTAACACTGATCACAATCCTCATGTTGCCTGCTTCAAAGTGGCTGTGTCAACTTCAGAGGGATTTTTCTAATAAAAGCAAATTGGAGGTTGCCTTTGGTGGCTGAGTTGGGACATCTTTCTTAATCACACAAGGTGGCAAGACATGCTATTGAAGATTTAAAGACTCTGTCAAATAGGATTTGTTTAAAGTCCACAGCAAACATTCACACTATGTGAAGGAGACTACATTTCAGAAAACTAATTTCAAGTACCATATTTACTCGAGTGTAATGCTCCCCTTTTTATGGTTATATTACATAGCCAAAATGAGGTGCACATTAAAATCAATATTGCACTAGAATGGTGCATGCAAACCCGCCTACGCCCCTCTGTCAGGCTGAGGCTGGCAAACTTGATGCTGGGATAAGACTTCCCAACTGGCCTCATTCAGGAGGCCTTCAAAACCGACCCCTCAGGTTTGAAGGCCTTGTAAATAAGGCCTTAGTTGGGAAGCAGCTACTCAGCCTGATGGAGCAGCACAGCTTTCCTTTGTCTGTTGTCCATTATGAGGCAGACAGCACAACGTCCAACGGGAAAGGGGAAGCCATGCATTACATTCAACAACGATTTTTTTTGTAATGCTTTCCTTCAAAATTGAGGTGTGCATCACAAGCAAGTGTGTATTATACTCAAGTAAACATGGTAGTTCTGCAAGAAACCCATCCTTATGTTGCACTTTATTCTCTCTGCTCCACCATATTAGCTCCCCACCCCCTGGTGCAGCAGGGGCTTCTGAAGTTTTTCTGACCTAATCAAATTTCCATCATACAAGGCCCTGAACATTGCTAAAACAATCTCTCTAGCTCAAATGTTCAGTAAATAAAACTGTGCATTCTGCAAGTGATTTCAAATCTTCCATACTATCACTTGAGGCTGTTTGGTCTACTTTGCAACATGCCAGTCACTTACTTAAGACATATAGACTTTTTTACTGAACCAACACACCAATTTTGAAAACAGTGGTGCAAACCTACCAAACAAGAGCATCGTAAGAACAGTGGAGTGAACACAAGAGCTCTGGACCAGAGCCTCTCTTATGTTAAATGGGAACTTTCTGACACAGCACATCAAACATCCACTTTTTTTGTTTTGTTTTTCTTGATAACAGTAATGATGGGGTAGACTCTACGTTATAGATTATAGATTAATTGCTAGTGAGGATGAATGGTGGGAATTCTAGATCACAGAGAGTTATGAATATGTAACTAGCGGTATGTATTATCTCCCAATTTGATTTCCAAAACCTATCTCAGCAGCCAGAAACTATACTGAGTGATGAACATCTGTTTTGCTGCCAATCATGGTGCAGCAGGATGATGTTTCCAGCCCTATTTTCATCCTAATCATCAGGAGAACAGTCTCTGTTGCCCAGTGCAGCTGCTGGCTGTTAAGGTAGGGGAACATTTGCAATTGTGACACAACAGTAGACATGAATGTTGAACAGTTATGAAAAACGTACATCTTACTGACACATTTGTAACAGAATGTCAACCAGTTAGTGATGTGTTTAAAAACTAATTCACCACAATTTACTCTAGTTCTCTGAAAATTCTGGGACTATTTTCAAAATCATAGGCCAAACAAGTCTACACATCTCTACAGGAAATAATGCCGCTGCTATTTCACAGGGAGGTTTTTTCTGCTTATTTACCACCTTCATAGAGTACAATTGAAAGCATGGAAAAAGACAGCCATGGCCTATTTAAAGCTGACTGTGTCAATGTTTTACAGAAACAAACAATAATCTCAAGTTTTAAAGTAACACATGAAAGCAAATACACACCTTTTGTAACCAAAGTGTTATGCAAGGCTTATGAAAAAAGTGGTGACAGGGAAGCTCTGTTACAATTTCTTCTTTGATATACTCACTGCAGCAGATAGCACAGCACTGTTCCTGACCTACAGCTTTGGAAAACAAGAGATGTATCAACGTGCAATTCTCATTGTAAAGATTATGATGGCACATTTAATAATATAACCCTTTCAAAAGCCACATGTACTCTGCCATATAATGCAGATTCAGAATGCAGTTTAACTGGCAGCGAAGATGGGGCAAAAACTAAAACTGGAAATGGCCTCCAGATTCAATTGCAGGTCAAATCAGGCTAACACTAATGGTTGCAAAACACAGATCATGCCATCACAGGCTGCAATTATGTGGGCATTAGCTTGTTGTAATATGCCCACATGTAGATCTATGTCAACTTGGACCATTGGAGCCGTGGTGGCACAATGACTTAAACCCCTGTGCTGGCTGAACTGCTGACCTGAAGGTCGGCAGTCCGGATCCATGAGACTGGGTGAGCTCCCGTCTGTCAGCCCCAGCTTCCCACGCAGAGACATGAGAGAAGTCTCCCACTGGATAGTAACACATCCGGGCATCCCCTGGGCAATGTCTCTGCAGACAGCCAATTCTCTCACAACAGAAGCAACTTGCAGTTTCTCAAGTCGCTTCTGACATGATAAAAAGACCTTGGACCCTCTTGGATTTATCATACAGCTTGAAAATCTTCTTACCATGGATACTGTTGATATTAGTGAACACTATTGAAATGAATGCCTTCTGCCAGAAGTTATCACATAATTGCCATTAAGGAATAGAAAATTGCTACAGATGGCACATTTTTCTGGATGCGGATAGGTAAGACAACAGGTATTGGTCCTGTGGGTATGGAGTTTGTGCTGAATTTCAATGTTATATTTAAACAGAATGTAACATTGATTCTTACCGTTATGATCATCTGTTATAATAATTTGTGGCAGGCAGTCTATGCTTTCTCTACTAGCTGGTGGATGAGCTTGCTCAACATCAATGGCGAGGGATTCCAAATGTGCCAAAGCAGTCTAAAATAAGCATGAAAAGTAACATCTCTTACACATAAGGTCAACAAAGCTTTGTTATTTTGTTAGGTTTCATTTAAAACTGTTGAGTGAAGCTCAACAACTGCAGAAAAAAGTGGATATACAATGACTGTTTAGGGTTTTTGAGTGGGAAAAATGAAGAAAACCTAGATTAATAAGGATTACATTTCTGGAATTATGCCTATAAATATTTATACAATTATAATAATGTCATTACAGTATAAACTTCATTCTTCAAATGAAAAGAGAGTTTCAATTAGAGAAAGTATGTATAGAATGTTTTCTATAATCCCCGAGATAATGGCCAAAACAGATAACATTTGGCCTGGGGATTGCTGGAAGAACAGGGTGCAAAAAGGCTCTTTTTCATGTTTGGTGATCCTGAAATATAGTACATTTTTTTGGAAAAAGATGGTTATAGAAACAATATGATCACAAAAAAGGTGAAGAAAAACCTGAAAATGTGTTTTTTCGGATTATTCAGAAGGAGTATTACTGCAGGAGATGAAGAAATTTGACAATACAACTTTGTGGCAGAAAGACTAATAACAGAAAAATCTTGAAGGGGAAAACAGAGTTAATTCATATTAAAGATTGGCGAGAGAAAGTACTAGAGTAATGAAGAATTTGTAAATAAATGGAGGCTCGCATTTAAAGTATCTGGAAAGGAAGAAAAAGGTAGATTTGAAGGCAGCTACAAAGGAAATTTATTAAGCTAAGAAATAAGAATAGATGCTTGATAGATATGAGATCCACACTGAGTGGCATCAGAGGTCTTGGGTGATGGGTTCAGGGGTGTGGGGTAAGAGGTGTAGGGGTCTGGTAAGATGGGATAATTGTATAGTCACTAATATTTTGTATATGATTTTCATTAGATGGCCGTATAATGTCTTGTTAACATTTTATATTCTTTTTAATGTATGATTTTTCTTTTTTTCTTTCTTTTACACAACAAAAAAAATATGAGTTTTTTTTAAAAAGAAGATATCACCAAACTTCCTGCCCCTGTGATAACTGGATTTTGAAAAAAAATGACTTGTTGTGGAAACAACGATGGGTGATAAAGCTTCTGGACACGCCTTTTCCCCATGATAACTCTTTCAGGAATGGATTTCCCTTATGAGGGGTAGATTTATCTCACTTCCTGTCGTTCTCAACTATGAAATTTATAATAATAATAATTATGTGTAGTCCATATGTAATACGAGAGTTGAATGAAAAGTAATGCCTCCACCTGTGTTACTTTGGTTTGGATGGTAATATTTTAATAAATCAAACACAGAAATAATCCTTAGAATGTGCTCTTTAACTACCACTATTCACTTTTCCACATAATCACCAGACAATTGGATACATTTCTGCCAACGATTAGCAAGTTTTCTGAAGCCGTCACGGAAGAAGTCTGCAACCAGCATCTCATAGTTCTCTCAACATCTTCATCAGAAGCATAATGATGTCCCCGCAGATCTTCTTTCATTATCAGGAACAGATGGAAGTCAGACGGTGCTAAATCTGGACTGTATGGAGGATGTCGTRYKGTGGTGAGATCCAGTCTCTRAAGTTTCAAGTCTRTGCRCTTTCATTTCAGGCRTCAGCATCCTGGGTACCCATCRTGCACAGATCTTCTGATAGCCAAGCAAAGCAATCCACATAATCACCAGACAATTGGATACATTTCTGCCAACAATTAACAAATTTTCTGAAACCGTCACATAAGAAGTCGACGCTCTGTTTCCGCAACCAGTGTTCCATAGTTCTCTCATACTGGGCATCCATTTTGCACAGATCTTACGATAGCCAAGCAAAGCAATCATGTGACCCACACGYTCTTGTGAAATGCYRATTRTGYTTGAAATTTCTCTCTGAGTKATACGATGATYRTCCTRAATCAATCTGTCAACCTTTTGCTTGTGARACTCRGTGGTTGCTGTCACAGGACRTCCAACYCTWTGTTTGTCACGCAASTCAGATGTTCCCACCTCAACATCTTTAAACTTACTYGCCYAACRAYRCACAGTACTCACATCAACAYAATCACCATAAACAGCTTGCATTCTCTGATGAATCTCCTTTGGGRTGACACCTTCTGCTGTCAAGAATTCAATGACTGCACATTGCTTAAGGCGCAYTGACCGACCGTCTGYGCAGGRTTCCATACTTCRCACTTTAACAAYACAACCGTTCAATGCTAAGRCWTCCCRCCAAAATGGAACTGTAGAGGAGAGTCTACTGAACAAGCCAGTACCTGCCGCATACCAGTACTGCCATCTGTTGAGGAGTTACGAAGGTGCAGGCATTACTTTTCATTCAACCCTCGTATCAAATTAGAACCTGTTGTCAAATATCAGTTTCTAAGATAATGATTCCTGAAGTAAGAGAAAAGGTAATTTCTTTTTATAAAAGTGTAAAAGAACTATCTGAATTGAATGTCTTCATCTCAACATAAATCTAGATTCTTCTGGTATTGATCAGGTGGCTGGCCTAAGTGGCACCTCCAGAAAGTGGTCCTGCCTGTCTCAAAGGTATGTAAATGTGTGAATATATTTATTCCAGAACATATTCCTATATGAGAGCTTTTATATAGAATCCCAATGTGTAGTTGTCAACAGAATCTTTCCACAAAGTATAAGCAGGTAGGACATTTTTGCTGTTACAGCTGAATTGGTACTTACACTTTACAGAGATTAGATGCATATTTTCAATTTAAGTTCTGATTTATCAAACCTAACTTTACACAATGTGAATATATTGCCAAGGCTGTTGAACAGAATCCAAATGTCACCTATAATAGTGGCTTAGAATATGTAGTGAAAGAGCTCATAAATTTATTTTACCTCCCTGGGAAGATACTGAAATGATATATGGTTACTGACAAAGTACTTTGCAGCTCATCTGTAAATATACACCATACGATTACCCAAATCTATGCATTATTTTAATGCATTTAGGTTTACTCTATTAGACTAACTTCTTTCAGCTCACATCTTAGTAAAAGAGAAGCTATTATAAATATTCAACAGAAAATATATTCCTTGGTTTAACAAAAAAGATGAAGATGCATAACAATATTTAACATTTCTGCTGAGCATCTGAAGTGTTCAAAAGGCTCTGAACACACATTCCTCTCTAATCCTTACAACAGCTGTGCAAGTCAAACCAATATCTTCCTAGTATAGGCAAGGGACTGAGGCTGAGAGAACGCTGTACTGTTCAAGACTTTGGCAAATTCAAAGCTGTACTGAAATTTTATGACAGCAATTCCCAAATTGTAGCTATGCTATTAACTTATACTAATGTCTTATGGCATGGCAGTAAGCACACTTACAACTAAAATAATCAGATTTGTGTCAGGTAGAATCCAGATTATCTGTAATTAAGGAGATTAAAAACAACTGTGGCAACAGAAGAAAAATAGTTATTAGTTTAGCTACTAATGATTAGAAAGGTGTGGCAGAGATATATGTAATCAAAATCCTTTTTTCTATGAAGAAGTACTTGATAAATGTGTTAGAAACCATATTTATTTATATAGCTATCCTTTTATTCTACAGCACAAGTCTTCTGCAGATGTTAACTGATAAACTCTATGTTTATTTCCATCCTTGGCAAATCAGTATACAGAATGAAAAATCCATGTGTGTTATTCTAAGTTAAGCCAACTTCTATAACTGTCTCCAAAAGTCTACTACTGAAACCAAGCTGTTTGGACATTGTTAATCCAATGTTCTGAATACAAAACCAGCATTCCCCTGGTAAACAACTGAAAGAACGTCAAATCCACAAGCTACCAAGCAATAATATCTATCAGTTATAGCATCCTAAATAGGATTTTTTTGATATTCCTACAAGCAGTAACAAAGTTCAAATTAAGTACAGCATTCACTATCTACCAAAGGGAATTATAGGCTGAATATCCCTAATTCGAAATGCTTGGGACTAGAAGTGTTGCGGGATGTATCTACACTGTGGAATTAATGCAGCTTATCACCATTTTAATTGCTATGACTTACTTAATGCTATGGTATCCTGGTAATTGTAGCTTTACAAAGTCTTTAGCTTCTCTTCCTAAGGATGCCAGTGTGTCACCAAACTACAAGTTCCAGGATGTACGTGTGGATTTCAGATATTTTAAAAAAATTGAAAACCTACACCGGCAGTCCCCAAGTTAAGAACAAAATAGTTTTTATGTGTTGTTGAAGGCTTTCATGGCCAGAATCACTGGGTTGCTGTGTGTTTTTTGAGCTGTATGGCCATGTTCCATTAGGAGAGAATGCTAATGCCACTGGAACATGGCCATACAGCCCAAAAAACTCACAGCAACCCAGGATAGGTATGTGCATTTCTTAAGTATAATGCCAAGCAAATATATACAGTTTTTGGATTTGGATAAAATAAGGAAGTGTTAACACCCCTGTCGTGTTTGTTTTGCTGTCTGTGCCCCCCTGTTGAGAAGATTTAACCTCACTTTCTATCCTTGTGGTAATTGAGTTTTGAAAAAAAAAATAGCTTGTTGTGGAAACAAGGATTGGGGATAAAGCTCCAGTGGAAAGAATAACTCTTTCAGGGATGAATTTCCCTTCCTTGCGGTAGATTTCTCTCACTTCCTGTTGTCTCAGCCCCATTCTTAACTATGAGTTGTTTGCAAGTTGGATGTTTGTAACTTGGGGACAGTCTGTATTTGCATACACACATGGTAAGATATATTGGAAATAACAGAACATTCATTTATGTTTCAGTTACATCTGTACATGTATCCAGGAGGATACACACTATTTTAAATAATACTGAACCATCGGAAAACAAAGGCGTCACTATCTCAGCCACCCCTGTGGACACAATTTTGAAGTATTTTGGAATCCTGGATAAGGGATGCTCAACTTATACAATCTTTTAAAAGAGAATAGTCTGTAGTATTGTATTTTCTCCTACAGCGTGCTTAATGATGCCACCAAAAACCCCTAATTGGTATGGTACCATTGTTTTCAAATGAGCAAATGTTATGATGCACAGTTAGCTCCCAATCACCCGCAATGAATCAGAATGAATCTCAAGAGGAGTCCTGATGCTGCCTTTCTACTAGCAAAGTGAAAGGTTTGACAGCTTGGCTGAGATTATTCTCATGGACATCTCTGAGGAATACCATGCTACCTAAACTAAAAGGAGGAAAGAGCAACGAATACTAAGAACTCAACTTATCAGTAATTATACAACAACACAAATATCTATTTTCCCTTTTGAGGTGATTTCAGCATTTATAATAGTTCAAACTAATTTGATATTTCAGACTCAAAAGACCACACTGGTGCGCCTTCTCAAGCTATCTCTGGCATTACAATGTCTTCAGTACACTAGTAAAAAGCACTGTTGTTTTCAAAGAAACTATCAGTGGAGGCAACTCCTCAACAACAACCCCTCAACAGCATCTCAATCCATGGCTGAAAACTTTATTTTATAAATGCTCTACGGTGCTCCACAGTGATACTGGCCACATGATCTTGGAGGTGTCCATGGACACTGCTGGCTCTTTGGCTCAGAAATGGAGATGAGCACCAACCCCCGGAGTCAGACATGACTGGACTTAATGTCAGGGGAAAACCTTTACCTTTACCTTTTTAATGCATTTATGTCATGCACTAACAGAAAATGAAATCACCTTTCCTACAGAGAGAGAAAGATTGAGATAGAAAACTAAATATGGATTTTAAAAGACGGGTTATGATTGAGCTCTCTACATGGTGAAATTGAATATGAGCGGCAAACAGTCTGTCTTCAAAGCAAGCCTATGAAATAAAAGGGCTTAAAGGATCATGCTCAGGATCTTATCAGGTTTCACTTGTAAATCTAATTATAGCCTCTGAATCAGTCTGTGCCAGCCATTTGTTAACATATTCTTCCAATTTATATTGTTCTAAAAAAGCTCCCTAACTAAGCTTTTTTGTAAGAAAAGTGAATCTATATGAACAAAGTTATGTGGCCATCATACTCTACAGTGAAAAAAGCCAAGAGCTATGAGAAAGGTTAAAAGAACCCACCAAAGGAAGACATTGCCCCAGTCTAATGCTGAAAAAGTAAGTCTGGGGAAAATTACAGAAACAGCTTATGAATTTTATGTTTCAGAATGGTGGCTGAAATATTTTTAAGGTAATTTCGAATAACTAAATCTTGCCCATGTCCAATCACACACAGAAAGCAGAGAGACAGCACAACAGAATGTGCTGCTCCCTAGATTACTTTCAAATGTTGAGTGATAAGGAGAGCTATCTTCAGTTATTTCATTTAGTGGTTTCTTCCAAGAATTTGCCAAGTACATTGTTCTTGCATCATGGGAGCAAGTCTTTCCTACAATGGAATCTTCAGTTCATATTATTTCTCACTTATCTTCACATCAAGTGAAATGAACTGACGAGTATGAGAAAACATGGGTAAACATATGAAAAAAAGTTGGTGCACTGGTACTCATTTGTGCAAACCTACCATTTTACAAAGTCTATGAAGCTCAAATCAAATTTTCAGGAAATTATGGGTTTTCTAGATATTAAATCTACTTGGGGAAAAAAAGAGAGATTTATGCTTGCATTTTCAAGTGAATCACCTGAAATCAACAGGAAGAGTTAGCCACAGCTAACCTAAGATCCAGTGATTTTAATGGGAATTTAGTGTGATAAACAATTGTCTAGATTGGAGCTTTCTAAACATTTCATGTTGGTGACATGCTTTTTAGACATGCATCATCTTGTGAAACAGTAATTCCATTTTAACTAGAGAACCAGAGTTAAACCAACCCCTTATAAAAGATACGGACACACATGAAAACTGTAATAATTAAATAATGAAAGTATTACAATTTACATGTGTGTCCAATCTCTTATAAAGGACAATAAGACACAACATATTTCACAAAAACCTTTCATTGATATTTTCTAAACAATATGATTTATTGCTTATTTCTCATAGACTTGTTACGTTTGTATGACACACCTACACACTGCAGTTGAAACACCAACATATCATAATACAGAGTTTGGAAAGCTGTGGTCTAGATACTGGCTCGTATGCTGATACAAAGAAGTAAATGCAATATTTCTCAGTGTCCCTCTATAAAATGCTATCTTTGAAGCTTCACAACTCTCCCCCAAGCAGTCATTTCTGAGGTGCTGAAGAGAGGCGTGCTGAGGAAATATATATTCAGCCCTTTCTCAGTCACGGGGAAGATACTTCTTTTGCACAGCTGTCTGTCTCAACATGTCCTGCAACTGGGAGGCCATTACTCACTGCATTGCTCTCCACTGGCTACACTGGGAAGCAGAGTGGGTCACTGCAATAATACAACTGTAAATGTTAACTGGAATATTTAAATGTTGTAAGTCAGGCTTATGGCCTGATAATTACTAAACATTATGCCATGTGTTATTTATTGGGACTCGGCATTATACCTAAATCATAGGTTTAGCTAACAAATTTTGTTTACAGTGACAACACCTACTGACATATTACTGAAAAGTTTCATGGTGTTCTAAAACTTAACTGGATATCCAAGTATGTGGCTAATCGTAATCATATGTATTTATTTTATTTATTTACCATACTTATATACCGCCCCTCTCAGCCCAGAGGCAACTTGGGAAGCATGATCTGAGTTATTCAGAGAAGCATGATCTGAGTTTTCTTCAGGTAACAGGAGTTTTCCACACCCTCTTCTCAAAATATGAACTTTGGGGCAAAAAACATTTGTACTAATAAAATAACATTTACTCACAAAAATAAAATGTCTTTGACAAAAACAATGTCAAGGCAGACTATTTTATTTTTGTGAGTAAACTTCATGCAATTTTACTAGAGTAAGTACTTTAAATACTTCCACATCCTCAACCCTAAATTTAAAGTTGTCCAGTCATTTCACATTTCTACCTGACATTGAAAAAAAAAGTATAGATCCCATCAGATAAAATAGAATCAGAAATAACTGTGGATTACAGTTATTAGAAAATGAATACGACTTTCCTTAACTGATACTGATGTGACTGTGAGTGAAAAAGACATCTGTGCCAAAGTTTACCTTGAAAACCTTCACAGCCTTCTGTTTTCCAAGAGTATGGAGGAGAGTAAATGAAAGATAGTTCTTCTGATACCTTTGTAACATCTAGTTCATGAAACACTTCTCCTCGGGGAGTCGTAAAGTCAACATGATACATGTTTTCACATTAACCAGTAGGCAGGGATGTTTGGTGGGTAAGTAGGACTGGATGAACAAATGGCTGTCATTTTTGTAGCAAGCCTGTGGTCTTTGAAAATATGTTTCTTTCTTTTGATCCTTTCAGATTTTTCAATTAGTATTTCAATAAGTACAGCAATTTATTATACTACTAGACTGTCTTAAGTCTGGCAAGAGTAGGACTTCTTTCATAAATATTTATTTAATATAAGAACACAGGAAAGTGTTCCAAAGAGTTGACTAAGTTCAAATAATACGTATGAACTATAAGAACTGTTATAATGTCAACCACCAACTATGAGATGGCAGCAACATTTTAAACAGTATTATTTTCAGAAAATTAGAACACCAGATCACATGTGCAAAGCTCTCTTGTAGAAGAATAGTATTTGAAAGATTCCTGATCCTTGAACGAAAGCAATAACTCAATCACAAAAGTAAAATAAATAAAAATTGAAATAATGCCTACCTCCCATATTAACTATAGTATCTACAAAAAGGAAATGTAAGCAATTGGAAATTGTAGATACCTGTAGACGCTGATAAGTCATGTCCATGAACAAGCTTGACACCTGAATTTGAAAAGATTCAGGTTAGTGAAGGTGAGGAGTACAGATTACTATTTTTTTTTAAATGTACCCCATAGTAAAATATCTATCAAATATCTTATGTGATATTTCAAAACAGTTTATTCTTAGGCAACTGCTGCTACTAAAAGTGTTTCTAGGGCAATTTGCCTTTTACTCACGCCAACCAATTAAATAAAAATGTGAATGTAGATGAACAAAGGTGTTCTATCTGCTTTTTGACATTTTTACTTGAAATCTGTTGTTGAAGGGTTCCATTAGAGCTGCTGAATTGCATTCCTGAATACTAATTTCTGGAAAAGTTTCACTATCCAAGTATGGTTTGAGGTTATTTAAAATTAGAACTAAAACAAGCAAAGGTAGAACAATTATATACAAGATTTCTGACTGGTTTCTGATTATAATAAGTATTATTACATATTAAAATATTTATACACCATCCTATGACAAGAGATCTCAGGGTGATTACAAATACCACCAGTGGGGGGACACAGGGAAGTCCCCTCCAGCAAATCTTAATCTTCAAGCAGGCACAAATAAGGAGATCTGGTCCTTCAAATGTCAAGGTCCCAAACCATGTAATACTTTAATGCCTTTAATCCAGACTGGAATTGTATTGGTACCCTGTATGTTTAAGATTGACATGCTATCTACATGATAATCCACATTTTTGGACTGATTTGGAGGGTGTTTTAAACCTGGCAAACTGTTTTCAAATGTATATTTATCATTTTATGTAATTGTGTATTTTATTTGTGTTTTATATTGTTGGAAGCTGCCTTGAGTCCCTCTTCGGAGGTTGAAAATAGCACGGGATACAAATGTTCTAAAGAAATAAATAAATAATAAATCCATTCAGCAGACAAGCTGTTGCATTTTGCACTAGTGGCAGCTTCTAAATCTTCTTCAAAGGCAGCACCACATAGAACGCATATACAAGCACTCCATGCCACAGAGTCCACTTGGGCCTCCAGTGATAGGGGTGGATCCAGCAGCACTCCCAAGTGACTTCAGGGAGAGTGCAAACCTATGCAGAACAGTTGTTTCCCCAATTCTTGGAGCCAAGAATCTGAAGCTTATTGGCTTTACTGACTTTCATTTAGGGAATCTTTAAAGTGTGTCCAACTAAACAATGCTCAATTTAGGCAAAATATCAAACTATTCCTTGGCGATTGGAAGTGCAACTGTATTCACTTTTATTTTCTTATGGCTCTGTGGGTGAGAGTCAATAAAATGAAGCTTCCTCAATAAAATGAAGTTTTGTTAATCCTAGTTTGTTGTGGTATGAACCTAACATGCTGATTCATAGCTGCCACCAAATCATGATGTGAGTATGGAAGCAGAATTTGTCGTGGCAAACAGACTAATAGAAGAGAAGAAATAGAGAATACATGCATACGGGTGCTGGACAGCAAGGGAGGGAGAATGCATGCATTTGCAGAAGTGTTCCTGATCTGAATTCTGCCTCATTTATGCTTTGGTCTGAATTCTGCCTCATTTAATGATTTCATAAAGGGAGTTAGCATGAATGCTCTACTTATACATCAACTGATGTATGCTGACAGATAAACATTATTTTGATCATACTTATCATACTTAATGTTGAGATATGTTATTTTAGCTATATGCTCAAACAGTAGATGCATTTCCCCCTTTAGAAATAGAACATTAAGAATGCAGCACCCTGAAAAGGAGTGTTTGTTTAAAGAGATTGCAACAGACAGCTTGGCAAAGATTTTATTTCTTAAATAAAAGTGTTAGCATATTTTATGAAACTGAGGTCTTAGAATATATACCCTGGGGATACGGGAGCCACACTGCATTATGAATAGTCCTCACACTTTAAAACAAGTACACTTCAAGAAATTACAGCACCTTGCCCTCATTTAAAAGAAGGTTCTGAAGCCTAAGAAATTAGCTTCTCCTTATCTGGTATTACAGATGACCAAGCAGCACTCAACCTATTGTAAATACATGTTTTGTTCAAATATCAAAGTTCTTTCAGTCTCCTTAAGACTCTGGACAGAATAATGTACAATCTATGTATTTATTAGGCTTGGGTAACCACGGAAAAATTTGGTTCTAAACTTGTTTCGTTTTTAGGGGGCCCCTTGCGTTTCGTTTTTTTTAAGAATTCCGAAATTTTCCTTTTAAAAATTTCGAAATATACGAAATTTCATAAAATTATGAATTGAATCGTTAATGGCGTTAATATAATATATTATATTAACGCCAATATGCTAAAAAAACCTCCAAATCGGACAGGGGAARCTTCTGAAGCTTCCCTCTCCCTCTGTTGTTGATTGTTGGTGTGATAAAACAAACAACAACTATATTATATTATTATATTATTATATTATTATTATATTATATTGTTGTATATTATATTATATTATTATTATTATATATTATATTATTATAATATTATATATTATTATATATATTATATATATTATATTATTATAATATTGTTATATTATATTATTATAATATATTATATTWTATATTATATATTATATATTATATTACTTTATATTATAATATATTACAATATATTATATATATTATATTATATTATAATATACAATTATAATATAATATAATAATATAGTAATATAATATAATAATATAATATAATATACAATACTATAATATAATAGTATTATAATAATATAATATAATATACATTATATTATTATTATATTATAATATTATATATTATATTATAATTGTATTTTATAATATAATATAATATAATATAATATAATATAATATAATATAATATATTTTATACTAGCTGTACCTGGCAACGCATTCCTGTGGCATAGAGTGAGGGTATGAAAAATAAAGTAATGAGAATTTTGGGCAAGAAGGATGCCAGGAGAAAGAGGAGGGAAGCAGCAGAGCAAAGGGACCGGAAGTGGGGTAAATGCGAGATTGTAAAACTTGCACCAGACATACGAAAATAATTACGAAATAATTACGAAATAATTACAAAAATTGGAAAAATTGTTTCGATTCTTAATTACTCCTCACACTATTCCTGCATGGCTCAATATTGGATTGTAAGCTAATTTAAATACGAATTAATAATGAATAACGAAATTAACAAACTGGATCGCCCAAGCCTAGTATTTATGGGTCTCAGTAAAAGCACAAAAATATTTTGCAACTTATTTCCTATCGAACATCTCAGTTTACCACTAAGGTGAAAAAAAGGCAGGAATGGTACCGGATTTCTGGTGAAAGCTCACATTCTAGACAAAGCTATTCGGGATTACTGCAGCGAACAAATGCTTTTTATTTGAATACTGAGCACTACTGATCCCGGGAGTTCATGGCTGGTCTCAACAGAATGAAAAACAAGCTTTAAAAATCCTGTTAAAATCCGCCCATCCTCTGTTAGCTAAACTACTTCTCAGAAAGCCAGTCTATACAGAAAGCTCTTATGTTTCAAACTGTTTTCAAGCTTTGGCCAATGTAGCCGACATGGAAACTTTTCAGTCCTATTTCAATGCCTTTTCATATAGTTCCTGGTTTCCATTTTAATATCTTCCTTTGTCATTTACATCTTACTACTCAATTACTTGTTAACAGACATAAAGTTATGAAATGTTTGAAGCATCTAAGAAATGTTCAGCTTTATTTATTGAGGATCGTGACTTAATTTTATCTTGACAGATCATAAAGCTCTGTCTTAGCATGGCCCCTGTGCAAGGATGACACGCAAATTCGTGATAAAGCTCTGTGAGTGGCACGGGTTATACATAAGGTAAGGAATGTGGAGAGCTTCCATTCAACAATATTTGTAGAGCTGTACTTTGTTTACACCTGCTGTAAAGAGATTCCAAAGGCAACTGTAATTGACATAAACAGAAAAAATATCAAGAAAGGTACCCTGATGCAAAGAATGTAGGCCAAGCAACACTGAAAAAAATTACATGCTAATGCTATACAAATTACTGCTTCAAGAACCATTGAAGACTTGTGAGATAATTCTTTAGCTCACCGTGTATATAAGACATAAACCCATAATGGAAGGAATTTTTAAAAAAACTTATATTTGCAATTGTTACAATAGGGAGCTGAAACATTCTAATCTGAAGTAGAATTGGGTTTAAATTTAGGAGAAAATTTCAGTCACTCTTGCACAGTAAAGAACTTATCAAGACTATGGGATGTTTCAAGCTGATGGACCCAATTTCAAAGCAGCATATTTCATGATCGGTTTCCATCTTTTTAAAAACACCCTATATTTAAAACAACAGCACAATTTGATGTTCTGCGATTATTCCAAATGTTCAATGGCAATTTAGAGAACTCTGAATTTGAATCTAAATTACAGTTCATCAAATGTTTTGTGGATGCAACAAAACATACTCATTTTTAAAACAACATTTGGAAAACAGCATGCTCCATAAATGAGGCATTTAGCTAAATTAATCTAGATTGAAATATAAATTTAAGCAAAGAACAAATGATAGAATGATTATACAGACAAGACGAGTAGATATCAAATTTTGACGCTGAGTACGAAGGGCTGCATCCAACTTTCGGAAGCTTTCTTCCTCTTCCCCATTTTTTTATGCCTTATCTCCATGGTTTCTAGATCTCCAGAGGGGCTTGAATTGGAGAGATGGCACAGATCCCCCAGTTCCAGTTCCATCAAAATCTACCAGTGGATTCAGCATTATCTCTGTATGCTTTGATGAGAAATGGATAGAGGAGGATACACAATGCTACCCATCATTCCCCAAGTAATTAAATCTTATCCCTTATCCTCCAATAAAGGAGGAAGGTGTTCGTATGTGGGCATGATGCTGGGTCTCCTAGGCACACTGAACGTGACAATGAAAGAACACTCTTACCATTCTTTCTAGGTTCAACGCCCAGCATAAAATGAGGGAACCTTCCATTTTCCAAGATCCAGAATAGTGAGTACTTCTTGCCAAAAAGTACCTGCCAGAGATGAACTAAATTTTCTTTTAAGCTGACTTAAAACAAGGGCTAGAAAACAAAGTACTCTGATACTGCTGAAACTGGACAAAAATGGACTTGGTCTGCTAACTTGAATGAGAGACTACTTGTAATCCCATGATATATCTTGATTTTAACTAAAAATTATAAATCCATTCATATGCTGTGTAGATAAATGAGCCAAAATATTTGGAAATAATTATTTAGTAATAATTTAATATTAAATAATTCTAGCAACATATAAGTTTTGAATAGTAATACTGCCCATATTTTACATTAACACTGACAGTTCACATGTTGGACAGAAGAATCTGGAGAATCAAGGGAAAATGTAAACTTGATGAAATAGTAAAAGATTGCCCAGTGAGTTATTTGAACTTTATACTTGCAAACAGATTTGCCAGGGAACAGCACGATTCTGTCGTCTTGCAGACCAGAAACATTTGGTCAGCCTCGAAATATTTACCTTTCCTTTGCTTATTTCTTTTTAAAGAGCATTCAAATCTTCTAATATTGTTAGCAGCAATCACTGCAGTGGAAAGCATCAATTGAGCAATTTAGTTGCGATGTTTTAACTAAAGGGGCAATCCTGGATCTGAAAACCTGTTTCTACAGGCAAATTGTAAAACTATTCCAGCTCATGGTTTAAAAACAACAAGGATTCCATAATTAATATTCACTGGTCTTAGGATGATGCTCTAACAAGACCAATGATTCCAAAAGCTGGACATCACCTTACTACTGTTGAAGTAATAGCATTTGCAAAGAGCACTCCATAGTCACAGATTATGCATCCACGGAGTCAACCATCCATGACTTGGATATTTAAAAAAAAAAACAAAACAAAAAGCATGCCTTGATTTTGTCATTTGATATAAGGGACACTATTTCACTTTGCATACTTCTTGTATCATCATCACCATCATCATTATCATCATCATCATTTATACCCTGCTTTTTCTCTCCACAAGGGAGATTCAAAGAGGCTTACATTAAAAGCATTTTAATACAATTTTAAATCCAAAAATATAGAAACAATAAAACAGAATTAAACATCCATGGTATAAATTAAACATTTAAGAGTGTAAATCCTTAAAACCACGTATGCCCCTGCTGTGTAGAGATCATGCAGAAAATGGCGAGAACGACATTTGATTAACATTCACTTTACTAACCAAGATTGCTTACGTTCCTTAAAGAATCAAAACCAAGGATCAAAAGGTAGAAAAATCAAGGAGTAACATGTCGCTTCAAATAATGTACCTAGAATTGCTCAAAGCACCAAAAATAGCCCAGCTACTCGAAGTGGTGGTGCACGGACTGGTGTCCATGAACACTCAGAACATGGTCCTTTGAGAAATTCTAGAAATTTAGAGAAACAATTGTATCCAATGGGCTCAAATATGCTACTCGTCCCATTAAATTAAATTTTAAAAAGTTACCAGTTCTTCATATAAGAACTTAAAAAATAAGTATAGGAAGTCTCCAAGTTACAAACATCCAACTTACAAACAACTCATAGTTACAAACGGGTGAGACAACAAGAAGTGACAGAAATCTAACCCTAGGAAAGGAAATTCACTCCCGGAAGAGTTATCATGGATAAAAGGTGTCTCACCTGAAGCCTGATCACCAATCCTTGTTTCCACAAGAAGCCATTTTTTGCCAAATCAAATTATCACAAGGATAGAAAATGAGGTGAAATCTTCTTAACAGGGGCCCAGACAGCAAAAGAAATACCACAGGCGTATTAACCCTTCCCTATGCTATCTAAAGCATATATTTTTGGCTGGAGTTACACTTTAAAAGGTACCTGTTCCGACTTACATTCAAATTCAACTTAAAAACAAACTCACAGAACCTGTCTCGTTTAATTACTTGGGCACTGCCTTGTCTACTGCCTTTAGACACTCATTGAGGATAACACAATTGTTTGGAGGAGTGTCAAGACTATAAGAAAAAAGCAAGAGATAGCCTTCTCCTGCTGACACTACTTCACTGTTAAGTTTTCTTTCCTTTCAAAAATATTACATTTTTCCTGGAATCTCCAAAACCTGACAAAATCTCTTACCTAATTCCAGGTTTTGTGAAGGAGATCATTTTTAACAGTGCTTTAAATGAAATAGTAGCTGCAGGATGATAACTTCAGAAAGCACCTGTCAATCCCTAATATCTAGCTCACAGGAGTCATCTGTTCTGTCTTCATTGTTTATCAAATTCTCTTTTTTTTATAACTTCTCTTCCTGTAGGCAATCTAGCAATATCCTGAAAGGTACAAAGCAGGAAAGCTTCCCATAGTGAGTGTCATGCAAATTACTAGGAAGATCTCCCGCCAACACTGCAGCAACAGCCAGTGGGCTCCCCCTTTCTTTACACAGAACTTGTGTGCCTTTCCAGAGTGCATAGCACAGAGCAGTATCAGACACGGAAAAGTCCATCTGCCTCATGCAAGGAATCTTATGAGAACAAAAATGAGGAAGTCTTATTCCTTGGCTATGATGTCAAAACCTATACTAATAAAAGCTGTTCTCATTTAATCTACATCTCTCATTTTACAACGTCAATCTCCTTCTCCCGCAATTCACTTCTGAAGCATATAATATGTTAATCAGCACTTAGGGACAGGTGAGTCATTCATGTATGAAGTCGAGCAAGTTAATGTCTTGCCATCAACCCCTTAACTTCAGGCATGGACAAATTTGGGCCTCCAGTAGGCTGTTACGAATTGTGGGAGCTAAAGTCCAAAACACCCGGAGGGATGAAGTTTGCCCATGGCTGCCTTACTTGAAATATGCCTACTTATTTCAATTTTCTACATTCACCTCTTATAACATATTCAATACTGTTTATAATCAGAGTAAAACAATGCATGATAATAAATAAGACAATCAACCAATAAAATAATATTTACATTACTAAAAGTAGGCTCAACTTTAAACAATTTACTAATTCTTTTCAGTGCTCATTTAAAGAAAGTAATAATGAAGTCACGCAAAATTCCTGTAGGGGTTTGTTCAAATATTTAATACTATAGATCAGTGTTTCACAAACTCTGCTCCTCCAGATATTTTGAACTTCAGCTCCAGAAATCCTAGGCAGCTTACCAACTGTTAGGAATTGCGGGAGCCAAAGTCCAAATCACCTGGAGGAGCAGAGTTTGAAAAACTCTGCTATAGATGAAGTATTGCCAAAGACCCATCCACTGTACAGGCAGTAACCAAGTTACAAACATTAGACATACAAACGACTCACAGTTAAGAATGTGGAGAAGACAACAGGAAGTGAGAGAAATCTACCTCTAGTAAGGGGAATTCATTTCTGAAATAATTATCATGGGGAAAAGTTGTCTCCACTGAAGCTTTATCACCAAACCTTGTTTCCACAACAAACTAAATTTTTGAAAATCCAATTATCACGGAGACAGAAGGTGAGGTGAAATCTTTTGAACAGGGGCACAGATAGCAAAATGAAGACCACGGTGGTGTTAACCCTTCCCTATGCTATCCAAAGCGCTATATGTGTGTGTGTGCGTGTGTGTGTGTGTGTCTGGAGATACACATAAAATTGCATCTGTTCTGACTTACAAACAAATTCAAGTTAAGAACAAACCTCTTGTTTGTAATTTGGAGACTGCTTGTGTATCTGGTTGGCTTATCCATAATATAATTCTTCTGCTATAACTGAAAAGCTGAACCAAGGCTCAGAAGTTAAACAAAATTTCCATGCAAGTTTATATGGAGCAAAATGCTTTTTGAGATATTCTGGATTCAAACTGTTGGGGCTTTAATGATTAAAAGAAGCAAGGGAAGTCTGCAGTGTATTGATTGCTGGGTGACAGGTGAGTTTCTAAAATATAGTGAGAGCATTGTCGTGTTACTGTGTAAGCTTTTCTACAGTGACAGACGTGTTTACATGAGATCATCACAATGTTACACAAGGATTATTCTTCTCATAGCAGTTACTCAGCAGAACAAGACAATAGAACAGCCTGTTCATAACGCATACATATGCCCGTTCTCTGTATAACTACTAATGGGAAATGTTAAAATGCCTCATTTACAATGGAAGTAAAGGATGGCCTTGTATAAAGGGGTTTTAACAGCATTTTTCCTTCGGTTTATCTAATTTCAAAACAAAACATATTGAATTACCTCCATGGCCTGTGCCAATCGTTCTTCCAAAGCCATATATGTAAGGAATTGGGGATCGACATAGGAAATGGCTTGAGCAACACCCAAACCATCACCAAATTCATCAAGCAGCCTAGGAGGAAAAATAATACGCAGTTACTCATCTATACCTGGAGTCGTGTCCAGATTGAGAGAGAAAGAGAAAGGGAGAGAGAGAACCTGTTCTTAATAAGGGACACACACAGAGAATGTGTCAGGAAATAAAATTAAACTGAGTTACTCTGCACACCTCTCAAAATTAATCTAAACCAATGAATTCTAAATATAGCATCACAAAGAGCCAAACTTGCTCTTCTTTAAGTCAATGTACATTGAAATTTGGTAGAACAATTCTTCTTCATCTGGGATAAGTGCACTTCCAAGATAAACTTTCAATAAGAATATTTATACCTTTTTCAAAGAATATACTTTTAAGAGTGATGATTTATTGTTCACAGGGAGAAATTCCATCCACAAAATCATGCAGAAAATAAACAAAACATTAGGAAAATTATTATTATTATTAAACTTTATTTGTACCCCGCTAGCATCTCCCGAAGGATTCGATGCGGCTTACACAGCCAAAAATGCTTGGCTATCTCGAAAAGATACAACTGCTATACCTGTACTTACAAGATAGTTAATAGATGCATTCTAATTAGTATACAAATGGCGGGGGGGGGGGGGGGGGCACGGGACGGGACAGTACAACTACTGGAATGGAAAAAGAACCTCTCACTGAGCCCAGTTTGGTTCAATTATTAATTTAGTTTTCAGATATTTTTGCATGAAAATTTACGTGTAGAAATCATTGGTGGTATAACTTATGGATGTGAGGGATATAACTTACTGTTCAAATAAGACACGAGCTACATTTCTCAGATAAGCACTGGCAGACAATATAGTGCTGGAGTATCAAGATCAAGATGAGCCTACTTACCTCCATTCCACATCTAAGTCTTCGCTTACACTGGAATCATCTTCTAGGTTGTTGTTTCCATCCAACATGAAAAAACCAGGATGTACAAAATGGCTCACTTGATCAGTTTCTTCATCACTACTACTTTCTATTTCTTCATGATACTGCAACCAAGGAATTTCACCATCTTCTAGAGCAGTCTGTTCCCTTTATACAATAAGAAAAGATATACAAAAATGACAGTAAAACTAAACATACATAATTGTACAAGGTTGCTTTTCACTTAAGTTATATCCATGGACTGAAACCAGATGGTTGCTTTCCATATACAGAAATCATTATACAGAAACAGCTAAAAGAACTCTATTAATCTGGAACATTTTAAAAGATATGCTCAAATATATACACTTTGATTTTTAAAAGACACAATGTCAGCATAAACTGCCCCACTATGGAGAATTTGACATGAAGGTAATGGCCTCCTTGATGGCCCATATTACAAAAGGGGCAGCTTTGCTATGTGGAATAGCAAAGTTGCATTCAGCACTGTAGATCCTGAATTGACCTATGATCAGGACTACATGTCCTCCAAAGTCTCTTGCAACTCTATAAGTGGAAGAAACTCGACACTGTGAGTCCCTGATAATCTAGATAAGAGTGTTGATATAACTATCACAGCTCTACTACTGATTGTGCACGTCTAATTTTCTGCATTACTGTAGAAAAATGGCAAACCAATTGTAGGAAAATGGTCAACCAATTACCAGTTCAAAAATGGTCAACCAATTGTAGGAAAATGGTCAACCAATTACCAGTTGTTTGAAGTGCATTGAAAGGCTGATAGGATCATAGCTCTTTGTTTTCGTGTTATCTGTCTGTAGTATCATTTTTGTTTCAAAGAACAGAAGTACTTTGAACACACACACTATCTGTGTATTTCCTTGTCCATAATAGGGGGATTTAAATAGCTTCCTCGCTGTAAAAAGGCCTGAACAAAGCATTTTGCGCCAGGGTTAAATTAACCCTGGCTCAATTAGGTGCAGCTTGAATTTACCATATTTACTCAAATCTAATGCTCACCTTTTTTACATAGCCCAAAGTGAGGTGCGCATTAGATTCCAAGACACTTTAGAAAAAAATGCATAAACCCCTCTATACCCCTATGTCAGGCCGAGGCTGGTGAACTCATCAGCCTCAGTCTGATGGAGTAGCACAGCTTCCCAAATGGCATCATTCATGAGGCCTTCAAAACCTCCCCATTGGGAGTGAGGCCATAGTTGGGAAGCTGCCACTCACCTATCAGCCTCAGCCTGATGGAGTGACATGGCTTCCCCTTGCCTTCTGGCTGTTCCAAGATGGGTAGCAGCACGATCAACCAGCAAGGGGAAACTGCAAATTATATTTGACAATGAATCTCTTTTTTGCAAGGTGCACCCTCAAAATTGAGGATCGTATTATAATCGGCACATTATACTTCAGTAAATGTAGGTATTTTGCTTACCCATCACCCGGGCTAGTGTCATTATACAAAAGACAACAATGTCAAAGGATCTGTAATAACGTTCCTATTCCTATGAAACTAGGAAAGGATCATTCATGCAATTATCTACTCTTCAAAATCAGCACCATCCATTCAAAACCCATCCATCTATCTATCCTTTATCTATCCATGTATCTATATCTTGGTAAGAGCCATTTTTATGATATAAAACTCTGATGGGAAGGAAGGTCATTAGAATGCTTTTCAACTGTTTCATTGTGGAGGTGGACAGAATTAATAGTTTTAACCAACTTTTGCTTTCAATTTACAAAAACCTACAATGTTTTAGAATTTGGGGTATTTTGATTGAGCTTTTCCTGCATGGCAGTGGGTTGGACTTGATGGCCCATGTGGTCCATTCCAACTCTATGACTCTAAGAATCACACATTATCTCAGGCTTCCTGGTTATTTGCAATAAGTCATTCTTATGGCTCTAATATTTCCAAAAAACACCACAAAAAAACAAAAAACAACCCCCCCCCCAAAAAAACCCAGAACATATAAGTTCATTACAATTTCCACTGATGAACATGAGTACAGGCAGTCCCCAAGTTACAAACAAGATGGGTTTTGTTGGTTTGTTCTTAAATCAGAATATATCCATCTATTAAGTGTAACTCCAGCCAAATATATATGTATGTGTGTGTGTGTGTGTGTGTGTCTGTTTTGGATAGCATAGGGAAGGATTAATTCCCCTGTGGTATTTCTTTTGCTCTCTGTGCACCTGTTCAGAAGATTTCACTTCACTTTCTATCCCTATCATAATTGGATTTTGAAAAAAATTGGCTTGCTGTAGAAACAAAGATTGGTTATAAAGTTTCAGTCGAAACACCTTTTCCTCATGATAATTCTTCCAGGAGTGAATTTCCCTTCCAAGAGGTAGATTTCTCTCACTTCCTGTGGTCTTACCCTCGTTCTAAACTATGAATCATTTGCTACCCAGATGTTTATAATTTGGGGACTATCTGTACTGTGTAAATGCAGCAGAACAACAAATTGCTGACGCTCTAAGAAAAAAAAAATCATCAGAGCAACTATAGTATGTATTCTTAAATATCTTGAATATAATCAGGGAATGAGGTCTTATATAATAAAAGAAAACTATTAACCAAATCTTTACTATATGAAAATGGTTTGCTAATCTGTATAACTGATATTTGAAATATTTTTAAAGCCACTAAAGGGGTGATAAGAAGCTTCATTATCAGAACAAAAGCAGTTTGAGGTTTCCACACCTGAGGCTTTGTAATATTTTATGTGATAAATTTGCAGACTTTTCTGCGAAAATTACATGACCAGTAGCATTGTTCTTAATTTCCCAGATTTTCCCATTATGGTCAAAGTTCAATTCAAGTAGACAATGGCCAATGAAAATATAAGACAGTCACTTCGGCATTTATACATTTTACATTGTTTTTGCTTACAATGCAGCATTTTGGGATTTAAATTTGAAAGTATTTTTTATTTTCTTAGTAAAATATATAAAACAAACCCATACAAAACAAAAAGGGGGTTTAACTGTGAACCAGTTTTCCCCTACAAAGGTTAATAACTTATTTGTGCCTTCAAGCTATGGTTCCACAGTGAAGTCTCTGTGTGCATTAAAATGATATTTCTGTTTTGATCATCACTGGGTTTAATTTCTTTCAGAACAGGCAAACATAAGGAGTCAAGATAAGACACTGACTTAAAAACCGCTTTGCTAAATTAGGGGAAAGAAGCACATTAATGTTTATTGCATCTTACTGGATGTATCAATGTTATTTATCAGCACTATAACTGCCCTTATTGCCTGCAGCTCCTAAAGTTCTAATCTTGCTAGCACACCTTGAGGTTGGATGAGAAATATCACAGGAACATTCAAGTCAGAAAGTCACAGCTAATTTATGGAAAGGATCAAGAGCCAATCTGCAGATTGTGAATACAATGTGGTACAGCCTTATTGGTACTGTACTACTTCAAGAATGCAAATGGAAGAAATGTGTATCTGAATGCTCCTCTCTGCATTAAACAGCAGATTGCTACTGTCTCAATGTGATTTTTTTTTTTTGCTAAGGGCTCTCATGCTTTTAAAATGAGTTGCTTGCTTGTTATCTTGGCATTTGAAATAACACCCAAATGACAAAACAAGCAAAATGCCAAGTGCTTTATTATCAGAAAGGGTGACTGCTCTGACAGTACTATATAAAGTCAATTGCAACCTGAAGTAGGTTCTGTATTTTTGAGCTATGGAGGCACAGAACAAAAGCAGTGTCAGTAAATGTATAGCCGAAATCCTTTGTGCAGTCTCACAACACTATGAAGTGGTGACAGGATCATGCACTGTCACAGGGTGGCAAGACAGACTAATCAGGTCCAAGTAATGAATACTCTTGGGACAAACTGGAGTGCAAAAGTCAGATCTACCCCCTTGAACTGAAGTACTAAACTAAAGCTGGATCTGCCAATCACACACAACTAGCCCCCAGCAGTCTGTGGCAACACAAGAAGCAGCCCTCATTACACAGAAGTAAAACTTGACAGAATTTATATATAGTTGGTCTGGATTCACTTGGCTTGACTGCAGAAATGACCAGAAATGAGTGATGTTGCAGCTGCTCATGAGAATGCCTTGTAATGCGTCCAAACAACCAGTACTGTCAACTGACTGGAGAAGCCAGTTCAGAGAAGTATTTATTCTAGTCCTACCTCAGTATCCCAGGTGATCTCCTATACTAGTCTTAACTATTTCCAATTCTGCTTTGATTCCAAAATCTAATGCATTCAGGATAAAATGTGATACAATACACTGAATGTACTGAAGCTGTAGATTAGGAGTAATTGAGGCTCATAAGATGTTATTTGCTTATAGCTTCCATAAGCCCTAACAAGAATAACAAAGAGCGTGGTCTTATGATAAGAGGTGCAATCTAAAAATATTTGGAAGGCCAGTTTTCCACATCTGTTCTGAGTACAGATTGTTTACTATGTCCATATATTGAAAGGCTATGAAGCCATTTCATCCACAAAGTGAGCAGTAAGAGATACATTAGAGAGCCCTAAATCTAAAGACAATGATAATTATGCCATCTTAACAACCAGAAGAAAGGTAGGTAAGTTGTCAAAACACAGCTCTGCCTCAAGAGTCAGGCAAACTCTACTGTCTACTATCTCAGTCAAGACAACACAAGGATGGGGAAAGAGGTGTAATCCAATATCTGGAGGAGCAAAGGATGCCTACCCATGTTCTACAGGGAATTCTTTCATGTCATATACAGAGACCCGTTTCAAAATGGGAAGTCCAGAAATTAAGTATAAATGGCATTAACTAAAGAAATTTAATCATAAATGACTATATATGAAACGGGAATTTCTAAAACACTGCATGGCAATCACGGAAGTGTGTGTACAGCAGCTATTGCATTAATTCTCTATCATTCACTTTACCAATTTATCTGATTGAAATAGGAAGACATACCCAGCTTGTAAACCAAAGTCATTATGTTCCTCTTCCACACCACTGCTGTCACTATGCACTTCAGGTTCTGGTTCCTCTTTTCCTGGAAGGGTCTCCCAACTTTCATCACTGGAGGACTGCTCTTTGACAGTCACAGCAAAATAGCATGGCAGAGATGCAGACCATTCACCATCACTGCATTCAGAGCTGTAATTTAAGACAATCCACTGTATTTAAAATGGTGGCATATTTTAATCAAAGTCAGGAATATGATTGTGAACAACCATGTTACAATTTTAAGCTTCACTGCCTAAAAATGGAAAGATTAAAGCTATTATTTAACTTTCCTATTAGAGTCAATAGAATTTGAACACACTCATATGTGTCTATAAGGTATACTGTATCTTTTTGTGTGGAAATAGAAAATAATTTCCCACTGCAGAACACATAGCCTGCCCCATTACACATGAACAACTTTCCCCATTAGAGGAGAAATAATCTAAATTCATAGCAATATCTCCCCATTACAGGGCAAACTGAAAGCTTCTGGGTCCCTTTTACTGATTTTTTAAATTTTACATTCCATCAAAGACAAGTTTTTTCAACTCCATATTGTGCTTTTCAGATACTTACTAAAGGACTTTGTCTTGGCCACTCAGATTTTGCTAACTTCCAAGCTAGTCTACTATAGTACAGTTTATATGAGGCTGTCTTTGCAAAAAGCTTTGAAGTTTCATTGTTCTGAGGTACGTCACTCAGACTTTGGCATGACCTCCACAGATTATAGTTTCCACTCCCTATTTGCTTCTAAACACAATTCAAATCGCTGATTTGGCCTTTAAAGAGCTGAAGTCTATGGGGAGATTACTCCAACATGAAGATCAGCCTCTGTTCTCATTGTCATCCCATGATGAGAATGAGCAAATGACAGTGGTGCCATTCCTTGGGAATATTCTCACAGTCAAATTCTGTCAAGACCTCTCTTTGAATATAATTTTTTCAGAAAGCAAATAAAACCTTTATTTTAGCAAGCTTGCCATTCATAACTTTGGATTTTACTGCTGTCCAATTATACTGTAATTCATACCTTGTTAGTTAATAGCACATTTGCATGTTATTTTATTATTTAAAATTATTATCATCCATTACAAAYAATCAGCAGCTCTGCATATAAACACATTGGGGTATTTTAATGTTTTAACTGCTGGTCAATTCTTACATCTGTGGCAATAACACTGTGTGAGAATTTCCAATATTATTCCCCCCCCCCCCCCCACCCCAAAAAAACCTAGCCCATTAAATCAAAGAAAGTATTTTTCTACAACCAGTACATTATACTAAATGCTCTTTGGCATTTACACAGGAGCTGGACCAAAATAAATAAACACACGCTGTTTGGAAGGTATCATCTTAAAGAGAAGGCTTCACCATTGGAGACTAGTGGAAAGTTTAGAATGGGACAAAGAAAATGTGAAAATTGTCTTTATCCTTATATTCATAGCTGTTTTGTTTAAAGGAATTTAAACTAAGAATGATATGTTGCATCCTAATGGGGTTTCTGGCACTTTATTGTATTCCACCGTCTCAACAGCACAGAAGATAAATATGATGAAATACTTCCATCTGTTCTTTATTCCCACTTGCAATGTAGCACACGTTTGTAACATTAAAGTAGTTCAATTACAGCAAAATTCAGAAGAATGAACACACAGGGAACTGGGAGTCAGAGAGAACAAACATCAAGGCTAGTAATTCTTGAATACAAGTTCTGCTCACAAAAAAGCAACATTAGGACTTTAAAAGATTTTTCAGAATGGCCTTCTTCTGTGTTACCATCCTATTATTCACTATCTATCCCAATTAGTGATGAATTTACAAACAGGGCCTCTTTATACAATTCCAGCACAATTTAATTACATTTTAAGTCAACCTCCTCCTCTTAATTACATAGCACAGCAATACCTTGTTAACACTGACAAAATGATTAACAGTTAAGTTGGCATGCTGCCATATTAAAGTACCATTTTGGATTTTCTATTATTTCTTTTTGAGGGGTATTGGAACAAACTGCTTTTGTATCTGAAAGTAGAATGAACATGGCAGAAAAACATTTATGGTTGTAGTGAATGTATGCATGCACTCATGTGTGTATGTGTGTGTGTGTTTGTGTTAAAAAAAACACACACAGGGTGCTTCTCATCCAAGAACAGGCTGCATATTTCCTAGAAAAAAAAGGCTTTTTGTATCTTAACATTAGAATATTATGAAGTATGGTTATAATGTCCCTTCAAGTTGTTCCTGACTTATGGAGATTCTGTAATGAACCTACAATGGGGGTTTCTTGGAAATATTTATTCAGACAGAGTTTCTCTTTTGACTTCCTCTGAGGCTGAGAGAATATAACCTTGCCCACTCACTGGGTTTCTATGGCTGGGCTGGAATTCAAACCCTGGTCTCCAGAGCTGCACTCCAATACTGGAACCATTTTCCTACACTGCCTCTCTGAAGTCCTCTAGGTGGTATATTTGAAATATATGAAAATGTTGACTATTTCCACTACCTTGGCAGCCTCCTCTCCACAAAAGTCAACATTGACACTGAAATACAATACCATCTGAGCTCTGTGAGTGCAGCATTTTCCGAATGAAGCACAGAGTGTTTGAGGATTGGGAGATCCGTAGGGAGACCAAGGTGCTTGCTTATAAAGCTATCGTCCTCCTAACACTTCTATATGACTGCAAAATGTGGACTGTCAACAGACGTCACACTCAACTTCTGAAATGATTCCATCAGCATTGCCTCTGAAAAATCCTGCAAATCACTTTGGAAGACAGGCAGACAAATGTCAGCATGCTGGAAGAAGCAAAGACCACCAGCATTGAAGCAATGCTCCTACATCATCAACTCCACTGGACTGGCCATGTTGTCCAAATGCCCGATCACTGTCTCCCAAAGCAGTTACTATACTCCCCACTCAAGAATATGAAATGTAAGGTTGGTGGACAGAAAAGAGATTTAAAGATGGGCTTAACGCCAACCTTAAAAACTGTGGCATAGACAAGAACTGGGAAGCCCTGGCCTTTGAGCGCTCTAACTGCAAGTCAGCTGTGACCAGCAGTGCTGTAGAATTTAAAGAGGCACAAATGGAGGGCAAAAGGGAGAAACATGCCAAGAAGAAGGCACATCAAGCCAACCCTGACTAGGACCACGTTACACCTGGAAACCGATGTCCTCACTGCAGGAGAACATGCGGATCAAGAATAAGGCTCCACAGCCACCTACGGACCCCCCGCCAAGACGCTACACTTAGAGGACTATCATCCTCGGGCTACGAGGGATCGCCTAAGTAATATTTGAACTGCTGGATATCTTTGAGGTTTTCTCTACTTTTTCAGTATTTTATTAAGAAAATGGATTTTAACCATATGTTTATAGGTACTCCTATTATTAAAGCATTGTGACATTCATGAAAATTTCAAAAGATATCCAACAAATATACAACCACTTTCTCTCATGTTTTTTTTTTAAACTTTTAATTATTTTTAAAATTAAACTTCCAAACCCATACCAGGGCTCTACTAAAGATGACTACTATTGGTCAATATGTGGGATATATTCTCAGTTTCACCTCCAACAATGAAAAAAATAAAGCTCTTATCCATAATAACTTGTTTCTAAAATTTTAATTATTTGCGATTATGCAAACGATGGTAACCAATTAGTTGGGTAAATGCTAAATCGGCTTCACCATAGCTCCTTTCTCTTTCGTCTTAACACTAGGTTCAAGGGAAAGGGAAAATGTTGAAACTCATTACTCCCCCTCCAAGAAGTATGAGCTGGGTAAAGACATATTTCTTTGGGAATACATTTTTGTGTGACAGATGCTGGTGTACAGAGGTACTAAATACGTCTATGTTTTGTGTGTGTAGCCATATCCATCTGCTAAGGGAGATAAAGCATAACAGATAAAGTCTCCCACTCTTTTGAAAACAGTCTACCTGTTCTTTGGTAGGAAATATTTTTTTAAAGAAAACATCTTGTGTAGGGTTAAACTTTAGTAACATCAACTTCATAGGTTAAACCCTAAAAGCTGCAATTTGACTTTGATCAACCACAGTTTTAACCAACAGCTACAATTTATAAATTCATTAAATGCCTCAATAACATGTGTGCAATTCCAGTAACTACATTAACCCTGTATCCAGAAAAAGCCAGAAAGCTTAAAAAAGAAATTCAGATAGTCCAGACTACACTTAGCTACAAATCCTCTATCTTCATGCTTAATTCAAAATATGGTTACATTTTGGTTCAATTATCTTTTATGATTTATGAAGAATAAGGGCTTCTGAGATACTGAAACAGCATGAAAGACACTGTATTTGGGGGGGGGGGGGATTTAAAAGGTAGGTTCAACTCCTGTCATGTTAAAACAGTATAGTACAGGCATGAAAAAACTAAGCTTTGAGTGCTTATGTCCAGCCCTCCAAATTCTCCACGTCCTCTGGCCATAAAGAAGTGGGGATCCACTGCATCCTTATGCCAAGAGGACGGGGGAGGAAGGCATGAGACAGCTGGGAGCCCTCTGGGGTGCTCTCAGCCACCATGTGCCTTCCTCGGACCCTCCTCCTGCATCAGGACAAGGCAAACAGCCCTGTCCTGATGCCAGAAGCACAGTCCGGGGAAGGAGGCAAGCAGCGACCAAGGGGACTCCAAAGCCCCCTCAGCTGCCGCTTGCCTCACCCTTCTCCCACCATCAGGACAAGGAAAGGCCCTGTCCTGATGCTGCGGGAAGTGCTAAATGTATTTTAATTCCTACCAAATAAACACTGTATCAAGTAGGGATATATCTACACTGCAGAATTAATGGAGTTTGACACTGTCATGGCTTAATGCTATGGAGTCCAGGGACCCTTAATTTAGTGAGTCACTAGCACTCATTGACAGAGAAAGACCTTGTAAAAACCACAACTTCCATGATTCCTTAGCATTGAGCCATGGCAGATAAAGTGGTGTCAAACTGCATTAATTTTACACCGTGTATGTAACCTAGAACCAAGGACCTACACCAAAATCTGGAAGAGGCAATTTTACCTTCTCTTTATATATTCATATTGTTGTCGATTTTATCTAAACATATTATTTGCTAGTTGTTCAATACAGATAATGAAATTTAAATCTCACCTGTCTTCATCTTTGTTGGAGCTAGATAGATTTCTGCCACAATCTTCGAATTCATCCCAGAAAGCATTGTCATCTACTTTACTTTGGTCTTGAAGAGTTATACTGTGTTTCCTTAGTTCACTTTTTATTTTCTTTTGAGCTTCTTCATAGTCTCTTGGATCAAAAAACATACTAGAATGGCTTTTTTCTTTGCTGTGCTTCAAGTCACATTCTGCACTACGCTGGTGGACATCCACAGACTCACTCCATCTTTTACTGCTATTTTTTTCTTCCTCTTCACTTGTAAGAGACTGTTTTCTGTCCAATTGACTTACAGGATTTTGTTTTCTAATTTTGGGTCTTACAACCAGTTCAGATGAATTCTCCTGGTCTGTCTTTGTACTGGCAGTACTCAATGTATTGCAAACTGCTACTTGTGTCCTAATTGTAGGATCTGCTGCAGTTTTTTGCTGTTCCAAGTTACAAGAAGTAACGAAATTAGTTTTTACAAGTGAATCTTCTTCACTAGATGATTTCACAAGTGCCTTATTTTGGTGAACAGTATCTGATTCTACAATAGAATGTCTTTTAAAAGGCACTGGTCTTAAGTCTTCAAAGCTTTTACTTGAAGCATTATGACTGAAATTGTTCAGGTGTGAATGCATATCACAGAATGAGTCTACTTCCTTCTCCAACTCAGAAAGCATGTTATCCAGTGTCTCTTGAAATATCCCAGCTTCTTCTTTAGCTACTGAAAGATCATTTTGGTCACTCTCTTCCTCTCCATCACTGCTATCCGGCTCATAAGAGTCAATGTTTACAAAAGAAATGCCATTTTGGCCATTAAGGTTATTGTGCTCTCCAGAAACGTACTCTGCACAGTCATTAGAATTCACATTGTTACACACCATTTGGTTTTTTCCCAAATTGTAGTGTGCTGGAGAAAATGTTGGAGTACCTGCATCCATTGCTTGGCTTGGCTTGGCTTGATTAACAGGATCTTCTGATCCAACATTTGCTAACAATGGAACATCTGCCAAAGCAGAACATACCTGGACCAGTGGACTGGAACCTTTATATAGAAGTGTAAAAAAAGCACATGTTGGAACAATCTGACTAATTGTAAAATTATATATCAACACATACTAAGAGCAAAACAAGAATTTGTTAATGTTCAACCCATCTGTGGCTACACTTCATTTAAACATTTTCAAATGAGTTCACAGTAAATATCAGAATTTTAATGAACATTTGAAGCATGCTCATTGCTAGAACCTAATGTGTAAGAAATATAGAACAAATGTTTAGAAATACTGCGTACTAGGAAAAAAGCGTTTGTTTCCAGAAGTACCTTGCAGGTCTACTTGAACGTTGTTTTAGCACTTGAGACACAACACTTATGTAGCTGTCACTATGTGCTGAGTACTTGTATAAGAATGCACACAATATGTTTGATTTGGCAATATAGTTATTATATAATAGTTCTAAGGGCCCTATCACACAGCCATATAGCCCAGCTGAATAAAATCCCATAATATCTGCTTTGAACTGGGTTATGAGTCCACACTGCCACATATTCCAATTCAAAGCAGAAAATGTGGGATTTTATTCAGCTGTGTGCAAAGGGCCTAATTCACCATGTAGCATTCAAATTGTCATAAACCAGAAGTATTATTAGGCTACCTCATCTGGTTAGTTAAAGGAAACATTTATTTTTATATTAGGGTTTTTTTTCCAGAAAAAGAATTCAATATTTTTCATCAAATATTTAATATTAAGCAAAATCATATAATAAATTATTAGCATATTCAAGGCAATGCATCCTTCAGTACACAAGCCTCTAAGGCAAGATGTGTTTCTCTCACCATATGGTTTTGGAATTTCCCTCATCAGTTAAGCTCCCATTTTTATTTTCAGAAAGAATTATGAATGGGAGGCATGACTGATGCACTGGGCAGTTACCACGAAGATTAATTCTAGAATGAAGCAAAGGAGTTATCCACTAATAGGTTAAACGTAATTTCCAGTTCCTGAAGTAGGAAGCGCTGTAATATTATTCAGGCTCCACTCTAGTTCTTCCATAACCAGGACAGAAAGACAAGACCAAATCCTGGAAAAATATACCTATTTCAACTATAGAGGACAAGCGAGAAAGACTGAATAAATAACACCACAAACTTGGTGTGGTTCTCTCCTCTGCTATTGTCTTGTATAAGCCTTTAAATACCCAATACATCATTCTCAGATAACAGAAAGGAACCATCTGTTAATGGGATCTACCAGAGCAAAAAAAAAAAAAAAGAAAGAAAGAAAGAAAGAAAGAAAGAAAGAAAGAAGAAAAAGAAGAAGAAGAAAGGAATCAGGAGGAACCAGTATGGTGGTTAATTTCTAGTTTAAGACATCTGTTGAGGAACCTGTTTTCCAAATGCTGCTTCAGCTGAGTTTATCGTAAAGAAATATGGAATCTCCAAGGTTGCAGTTCTGAACATTTCAGACAGACAATGGTAGAGAAAGCTGCTGATATGGTTTTAGTTCTAACAGAATGAGTAGGAACTTGAAAGGAATTTGGCATGCTAGCTTCATCATAAAGTGTGAAAATGCATGTTTTCAACCACCATGCCAGGCACTGGAGGAAATTTTGAAGCGCAGGAAGAACACAAGGGGCCATTATTCTAAGACAGATGTTTAATGCCCAATGCACATTCCGCTTATGGCCATTTCTCTCTACAGGATGAGAAGTGTAAGAATAAATCTATGTGGAACACTGAACTGAACTTAGGGACAAAGGTAAGGACTATTCTGAGTCACAGTGTATCTTCAAGAGGGTGGGCAAGGAAATATTTTTTTAGGAAAAAAGGTTATAGGAAAGGAAGCTGCGAACTGCTGGAAACCTGGGAAATCAAATGTATACTCCCCCAAGAAACACTTCCCATGCAGGTGATTTTAAGGTGAACCTGTCCTAATTTTGGATGCACTGAGGTCTATCAGCTATCTTTTCAGCATATTGAACATTCGGCCAGTATCTAATTCTGCTTATAAGAATTACTTAAATGACTTTAAACCTGGCAATTGTAACTCATCTCTGTGTTTGCACTAGCTGGTAAAGGCTATCCACATGGCCTCATGGAGATGCACCAAGAGCTGTGTCAACTACCCAAGATGAACATCCTTCAGGTAGATGTGGTTAAATAAAGAAAGCTTAGATCAGGATGAAACATCAGCACTTGTAAAAAGAGATCACTTTCCTTAGCTAAATGATTAATTTCTGGCAAATAATGTCTGTGAGTCTAGTGAAGGTCTACTGAAGAGCTATTAGGATTAGCAAGAATTATATTGGTGGTTCTTGAGCAGGATCCTGAATATAACAGAGAAGGTATATTGTAATCCAGGAAGCTAGGGAATTGAGACCCTATGCAGCAAGGGAGAGGAAAGAGACAAAAGAAAATCATAGTTTCTTGATCTTCAGAGTGGTAATGTGATCATCTCCGTATGATACTATCTGGAAGAAGACAGCCTGATCTACGATCCACTTTCCCAGGTATTCCAAAGTTTTGCTGAGGAACTCTGCCCAGTGATAAAAATTCTTTCAATGTGTTGGATCTAACATGTTACGGGCAGTTCTCAAGTTATGAACAATATAGGTTTAGAATATGTGTTTTGTTGAATTTCTATGTAAGTCGGAAAGTTACTTTTGAAATTGTAACTTCAGCCAAATATTTATATAATTTTAGTTTGGGAAAGCATTGATAAGGGTTAATACTCCTATGACATTTGCTTGGCTGTCTGTGTTCCCATTCATAAGATTTCATCTCACTTTCTGTCCCTGTGATAATTGGATTTTGAAATCATATTTTCCCCAAGACTCTTACAGTGGACCTTGAGATTGTCTTAAGGACATAATATTTCTTTGGAGACACTGAATACATAGGAATGCCATAAACTAAATGAGGCATTCCAAATCAAAGCTTTCCAATGTGGAAGTAAGAGAGTTTTCTTCTCACTTGGGAGTGGTCAAGAGCCAGAAACTCCTGACATTTGTTTCACATGGGACAAGGAACTTGTTGTCCGTACTAGAAATTGGTTTATTAACCTAATTCCAACTAGACCAAAAGCAGTGAAAACTTCTGGATCTATAAATGCACTGAAGAGAAAAGTTATGGATTTCATATTATATTAACCCTATTATCTTGCAGAGAAACACTCTATTTGAAATAGAGAAACTGATCAAACACCCGTGGGAATTGAATTTTACTAAATATGTTAACTTCTTCTTGTTCAATAAAGAGCTATTATTTCGCCATTTGAATGTTCTGCTCCTGGATCTCATCAAACTCAACAGAGATGCTAAGAAGACCAAATGCAGGGAATGCCAAATTTGTCCTGGGGTGATCAGTGGTGGTACAGCAAGGATCAATTACCCAAAAAAGAATGGGTCACTCAGGGAGAAGAAAAAAGAAGCATGCAACTTGGCAGCTTCCCAGAGGCAGCCATTCTGGGAGACTGAAGCACTCTTAACATGTAACATGGCTGCCTTTTCTCTGGAAGATATGGAGGCATCTTGCAGATTTTAGAATATATGGAAAATTTGTTGGTAGAGTTCTTAGATTGCAGAACAGGACTGTCTACTAACGAATTAGGTTCCGTTGCTGCTCATGCCATTTGGGAGTCATAAGACTGAACAAACTGATCTCCCCCTGTGCTCAGATGAAACAGTTTTGATCTTCTTCAGTCTGAATCTTCCAGTTTGATTTTGTTTCTTAGTTCATTTTGCTAGTATGTGTGTGTGTGTGTAAGTCAAAGAAAAGAAGAAATAAGCCTATTTTTCTAGGGTTCTTTTCATAGAAGATGGGGATGTTAGTCTATAGGAGATCCCTTCTTTTCCAAATTATTTCTTTCCTCGCTGTACCAGAGTGAGTAAAGCTTTTTCTTTAACATCTCTTGAAGATATTGCTGGGGTTTTTTTTTTGTTTCGATCACTGATATTTTATTCCTTTACCGTGACATTTGCTTTATATGTTGTGAGCCACTAAGCCATCCTCTGATTAGATGTATATGCATTAAATAAATTAAAGGCTATATGTGTATGCATTAAATACATATGACTCAGTACTTTCTATCATATTGACAATATACTATAGTAGTGTGACTTATACATTTTACTTGGGGATAATTTGATTTTTAAAAGCTAATTTTTCCTTGTATTTTTCATAGCACTTAAAAATAAGCTCAGAAAAATACAGATATAAACACTGACTCAGATGTCTTCAAAAGATGGAAAATCAAGGGCATGATGGTGATGATTCTGAAAGGTGACTAAACAGAGGCTACTGGACGTACTAACTGAAGCAAAGCTTGAAATAGCAATGAACAGAAGGCTATTAACAGCAGGCCAACAATACAAAGTAGGGTAGATAAATGCCTAAAGCTGTGGGATATGGACACATGCAATATGTTCTCAATGCATTCTACTGTTTGAATGCAGAAGAAACCAAATAATTCATTAATGGCCTACTTCTGTGATCAACCACGATACATACCACTATCATTTTACTTTAAAAGTGAAACAAGTAAACCTAGGACTAAGTTTTGGATCACAGCTTACCAATTACAATTTATACCACTTAAGATTTATATGTCCTTCTAGATATTTTTAAAAGGCAAAAAATGCAATCAATATTATGTGATTTTCACAACTTCCCATCCTCCTGTGCCATTCAGTTGTACCTGCTCATTCTTATTTTTTTCAAATGACTTTCCTAAATATAAGAGTTCAATTTGTAATTATGTGACACGCACACAAAGAATTTTCTTTTTGAACGTCATCCAGTTCTAATCCTTCACATTCGCTGCTGTGTTGGTTTGAGTTCCTCTCTTGATTCGCCAGAGATGGTCTAAAACTAACATAGGCATGCCTTCTTCCATATCTTCTGCCTGTAATAGTCTGATATCCTCCTGCTGGCTTTGGCCATGTGGGCTTTCCAGCTTCCTGACCCATTGCTGTAGGAGAGAAAGAGAACAAAATGAATTCTAAATACATTTTTAAAAAATAACAAATTAAAATATATTTTAAAATGTAGTTTAGACACTATGGTGGGATATGGTATAAAAAATGTCCATGAAGATAAACAAACTGTTTATTCTCATATTCTCATCATACTAACAATATTGATCTGAATATCAACTTTTATCCTTTTCTAATTATTGAATAAAATGTAAAAGAATTATTAGTAAGCTAAAATACAATTCCCTCACTTAACGCTAACAGCCTTTAACCAACATTCAAATACTGCAAATAAATAAATATCAAATATCTGACAAAAGAATCTGAAAAGAAATCTTTGTAGAAATGCCACATCTAAATGAGGAATTACTATGATCTACGATCTGAATTTATCTTGGGCTTTTACAGATAGCAGCTTTCCCCATAGTTGTTTTTGCAGTACAGCACTAATTTAGAAATAGAGGGACAAATGCACTAAAAAGACCAAGAACCACAGGTGTGTGTGAGAGAGAGACTAACAGTATTCTCAATACATCCCTTAATATCAGCCAGGAACCTTACAACTTTCCAACATTTTAACATTTTAGTTTCCCCACACCCAGGCTTCACAATTTTAGCAACATGGGAGCCTTGCAGGGTGATCCAATTTTGGGGAGGAGAGAACAAATGGGAAAAGGAGTGTGTTCAATTGTGTACCATATGAACTCAAGGGTGGTGGTCAGTTTCAGAAGAGGACAGAGTGATCTTAATCTTAAAACATTGGACTCCACTTCTACCTGTTGAGCAGCATCTTTGCCAAGAAACCTTGCTTTTTACAATTTCCCATTCTGTGAAATAGGTGTTTTATGACCTGCTGTACCACTGTCAGATAGTTTTCATGCATATCTCCACAGGAGACATTTTGTGACAATATCTTTGAAATACTCTCAAATCCCAAATATATTGACTGGCTCCAGAAATGAGTTTCCTGGCTTAACAAACTCCATGTTTAAATATTAACTGAATCCTTGTGGAGCTGGAATTTTCTAGCAGAATCAATGTATTTGGTTATTTAAACACTCTTTCCACAGGTGTATTGTACATCCATACTGAATATTATATTCATCCACATAGGAGGAATTAACAGGCATAAGCTACAAATAGCCAGAAGAAATTCAGTGTTTCCCTCTACATTTTCATTAAATAGAATTTATTCAGTAATTCAAAGCTGACAAAGTCTATGGTTAATATTTCTTTCTCCAATTTATCTTCCCGAAAAGTATGAAGTTGGGTTTTTTGAAGCTAACAAAGTTAACCATGTGTCGTAGTGCTGGACAATAAGACAGAACACAGATAAGCAAAAAGCAGAAATTAAAATCTCTGAACTCCTTCTCCAAGCTACATGGGATACAGAGATGGAGGATGTGCAAACCTGGAGTCATTACCTGCTGAACTGCCATCAGGTAAAAAAAAGTGTGAGGATCATTTTGGGCTCAGGCTCAGAGAAACCAGCACTAGTGTCCTTGATTATCTGCTAGTGACAAGTGTACCAAGTACTTTGAGGAGAAAGCAGCTCATATCGGTTCAAAACTTGATGCCATGGTTATCACACTCTGAGAAAGTGTCTGATGCTCAGTCTGATCAGTTTCCCGGCATCAATTTCAGAAACTAAATGAGCAATAAAGAGCTTAAGAGTACTTCTAGATCCATCTTTATCATCAGTAACTGACAAAGGGACATATGGGAGACTTTTAATTTAACATTAAGATTTTCATCATCTGGAAAATCGCTACTGTATATACTCATGCAGATGTCTAAAAATAAAAAAAATGATCCAAAAAACCTGGACTGACTTATTCATGGGAAATGTAAGTAAAGTACTGTAACTGTTATCCATTTCTCAGAGTAGACTGGAAAAAGTAGACAGCTTTGTCCTGGCCAGGACAACCTAAAAGAAGCACTGACCCCCCTTTACTCTCCACCATGGCACTTTTTGAATGTCTAGGTGAAAAAAACATAGGCCTTTTTGAATGACTAAATAGAAAAAAGCAGCAGTGACTAATTCTTTACCATTATTTTCCTTTGCCTTATACTTTGTCACATGCCTCTGGTTTTAACCTTGACCAATCCATAGGTTATATCAAAATCCTAGGAGCCCCCGGTGGCACAGTGGGTTAAACCCCTGTGCCGGCAGGACTGAAGACCAACAGGTCACAGGTTCGAATCCGGGGAGAGGTGGATGAGCTCCCTCTATCAGCTCCAGCTCCTCATGCGGGGACATGAGAGAAGCCTCCCACAAGGATGATAAAAACATCAAAATCATCTGGGCGTCCCCTGGGCACTGTCCTTGCAGACAGCCAATTCTCTCACACCAGGAGCGACTTGAAGTTTCTCAGGTCACTCCTGACACGACTAAATCAAAATCCTGAATTTTACCTCCTAAAACCTGCCTTCAACATATACATGAAGTCGATTTGTACACAAGTATATAAAATATCTTCTCCTTATTTTATTATTAGGGCAGAAATGTAATATAGTCAGCTCTCCACATTTTTAAATTTGCTTTTGAGAATTTCATTATTCACAGAATTGATCAATATGTTCTAGGAATTTGTAGGTCTTCTAGAATGACCCTATGATCAACTCCTCATGAAAGAAGAGTTCCACTGGCGAACCTAGCAATTCCTAGAGAGAGCATTTATATAGGCATTTGTAGGTCCTCCAGCATGATTCTATGGTCAACTTCTACTGAACTGGAGGGCCTAGAGATTCCTAGAAAGGTGTTCTCTAAGGTTCACAAGTATTTTTTTGTTTGCAGTTTTTCTAATTTTAGGAGGGTCCTGTGTCCATAACCCCATTGAATTTGGAAGGTTTTGTGGCACTGCAAAACAAATGGGATAATAACAAAACACAAATAATGATTAATACATAATATTGCTTCCCAACCCCTTTACCTCCCTTTCTGCTCTTATCATGGCTCCAGGTCCAGGATCACAGTTTGTTCTGTGATTATGCTTCTTTCCCTGACAGACAGGTAGTACCAGTACCGTACCTCAAGCAACAAGCTGTCTCCCAACATCTCAACAAACTGAACACATTTCTTTCTGTCTTCTTAGTCATAACCTATGGCTTATGTTTGGTGAAGTTGTATAACTGATACCTATCCTGCTCTTTTCCTGGTCTACACTTCCTTATGAGGATACAATTGCACATTCCTGCAATTTCTGCATCCAAAAAACAGGATGGAAAACAAGAACAATAATGCAAGCAAGGACCTCATAACCAGCTATCACATAGGTAAGCACTGCTTTCTTTCATATGATAACTTGGTACTACAAAATTGCAAATGTGAGTTGCAAGAAATCTATATTACTATTTAAACTTGAATTGCATCAAAAGGCAATTTGTGTCTACTGCAGTTCCTACAGCTACCTATGATTTCTTTAAGTGAGGAGTAGATCTTTTTTAACTGAAACTAATTTTACTAAATTTTTAAAATTACATATTCAGTGCTTTTAAAAAATCTTATACATAACTACTTCCCCATAACAGATTTGTAATACATAAATATGTATGTCTTGACTCATATAATATGTTCATCCTCTAGCTCTTATTACATACTTGAGCTCTATCTGCTTCCCCTTATTTACCCTTCATCGAGTGCTGATTCTTCACCCCAGACCAGCCAGTTACAATACTTATTTCCAAAGTTCCGTTGTTTCTATTACAGGTTTGTTCCCCTTATCTTCTATATATACATGTTCTATAAATTTTTCCAACATTTTTCCAAAATCATCCTTTTCAATAACCCTCTTTTTTAAAAAAGAGGGGCACAGTCTACTATTTATTTATTCAAATAGACATACATTTGCAAGTGTTTGTTGTGTACAGTGCAATACTTTCCATCTAATAGTGTTCCATAATCATTTCTCAGATAATAAATTTCCTTTAAGGGGCACAGTCTACTATTTAAATAATACATATGAAAGTATCATAGACTCGTGCTTAACATCCGCTTCCTCCTTCTCTACAGTCTTATAGGATCCTCTATATACATTTTTAGTTTAATTTAGTTTAGCTTAACCCTCTTTTAATCTTAATATTACATGTTAATTTATCTTTTATTGCAATATCCCAGATCAAGTCAGGAGTAGATCTAATCAGCTGTGCCAAGTTCAAAGATGGGAGACAGGAAAACTAACAAATGTAGATCATTAGCTATGACTGCAATTGAGAATTGTCTTTTTCATTTACGTCCAATGAAGCCAACACTCATTCTTGCAGAAGCTGGCATGGTATCTCTTCACAGGGTCTAGCAGAAATTGAAATCTCTTTTCTTTTTTTCGACAAAAACTATGTCTCTGGACATAAAAAAAAATTCAACAAGCTATTGTGATAACTGCCATTGACAAAGAAAATCTAATTCATTTAAGCCTGGGTAGGTACCTTAGTTTCTATTGGAAGTTTTAAAAAACAATGATCATAATGGTAATGGTCAGGATTTAAAGGTGATGCAATCAAAAAATCTTAAGAATCACAAGGGAAAACTTACTGCAGCATAGTCTAAATGGTGCAGATAAAAGGGAAAGGAAACTTGTATTACATACAGGAGCTCTGAAAGGAGGCAAAGATACCTGGTTCTAAGTAATTTAAACAAGACGCTCTCATCATATTTTATAGAAACATACTGTTAAAAGTTGCACTGTAGAATATAAAAATTGGTTTCTGCATTTTGCCAGAAAGATATCTGTAAGAGCTGCTTAAGCTGTCTGCAGCATAGTTGTCTTATAACTTTAAATGTATTATTTGTTAAGCTTCAAAATGCATTTAAGCAGTGTACAGTGTTTTAAAAGAAGTTTAAAATTAGATCCTGCCTGCAGGCTTACAATCTTTCCCTCCTTTCAGAGCTCCTGTATGTAATACAAGTTTCCTTTCCCTTTTATCTGCACCATTTAGACTATGCTGCAGTAAGTTTTCCCTTGTGATCTGTATGCCGGGTTTACCATATGTCACCCTCAATCTTAAACAGCTACTTAAAAAGAAATCACAAATGACTAACAGAGCAGGAAAGTGCTATGTGTAACATACAGCAGGAAAGTACAGTGATACTATGCGAATTATCTTTGCTAAATTTTTGATAGTCATTTAAAATATTTAATTAAAAGTTAAATAGAAAAGGTGTTCCTCTGAAATATGTCTTATCACACCTTAGATTTTGCAGGAATTCTCAGAATTCCATGAATATTTTATATGAAAGTAGTTCTATATATGGTGGGACTAAATTCGTAGCAGCAATGACTACAATAAAAGATTGGGTGAACATGCTAAAATAGGAGCAATCATGGAGCCCCTGGCACCTGAAATGGTCCTTGATTATAGAAATTATCGGAGTATTTTAAAACTAATATATGAAAAACTCTTTCCACCAATCTTCCGAAATTTATTCTAAGTGAAGGTCTGCTGATATCAGAATACCTACTGCAATTTGGCAGGGTCTTGTTAGCAATGATTTCAATCTGATCCATATTTTCCCAGTAGCTTTCTTCCTGCCATCTCCTCAGTTCATCTGCTCTAGCCCTTTATTTGTCCATGAAACCTGCGTGATGCAAATCACATTACTTTAATTAGTTTTTAAACATCTTTGTCCATACTTCTTAAGTTTATTAAGGAAATGACACATATTCATCTAAGGGATTTACTTATTTCTTTCCTTTACAGCCACAGACTTATCAGGAGAATTGCTGAAGTCAACATTTTTTTTTACTAACAAAACTTCAAAATCTATTCTGATTTCTTGCAATCGATCTTTTCTGTCTATAATTTTAAAGCTACTGATTAACTTTGTCATTTTAAAGAATTCAACAACAACAACTCTGTATATTTAGTTAGTAGGATATTTATTTATTATTTATTTACTATATTTATATACCACCTTTCTCATCTCTGGGAGAACTCAAGGCAGTTTACAACTGCATGTCAACATACAGTAAAACCAAGAAATCAAAATAACTCATCACGACATATAACTATGACTTAAAATCATTAAAACCATTAAACATAAAACATAAACAAAATTTAAACATTCAGAAAAAGCAAAGAATACAACTTTTAAATGTGACAGAAAAAAAATACTTTAGCGCTAAAGAAGAAGTACTATTTTGATAATTCATCAGTTGTCACTGCCCACGTCATTACCAAGTTTCCAAACAGTTCATATACACCCCTCCTCCATTGGGACTACATAGGAGTGATTTTAGGGCCAGGTTCTCTGGGGGACAGTTACTTCAACCAGCCAGAGCCCAACTAGAAAGTGTCATCCAGAGGATGTTTTCAGTTGCCCCTAAAACTGCTAGAAGAGATATGACTGCTAAATGTGCTGTCAGAATTTAAACATAATGAAAAACTTATCTCTCTCAACAAGCCTACTCAGTAAATTTGAAATGATTTTTAAATTTACATTTTATTAATACTGATGTTTTAATAATTCTTCTATGTATGTATGTATGTGTGTGTACATGCACCCTTTGTTTTATCCATTTTTATTCTGCCTTAAGCCGTGGAGAGAGAGAGAAAACAAATAAAATTGGTTGTTATTATTTAACCAATTTACGTATTCACATTATTAATTAAGCAATATAATGTAATAAAAGTTTATAGTTCTGGAATTCAACTTAACAGTCAAACTACTGTATAGCCCACTGAAAGTTGTTACTTATTAGGTAGATGAGTAGTTAGAAGAACAAAAACATTAGAGTCTCTAGTTTCCTGGCTCCTTTTTCAGGACATATCTTTCTCTTTAAGCATCTTTGCCATTACCATATGCTTGCTTTGAAATGAACTCAAACACATTTGCAAGGCATAAGCTGGGAAGGCTGTTATAAACTACATAAAGTTTACAAACTATCCAAAGTATACCTTCTGTTGTTCTATGTTATAAGTAAAATTCTACTAGTGTAGAAGTCATGATCTTGCACATCCTTTTCCTTGACATGAGTTTTTATTTAGGACAAGTCAACGAATACATAAAAAAGGACACTGAAGGCATGCTCTGCATCATGTATCATCCAAAACAAGCGGGCTCCATCTGAAACAGATGGCTGATGAACATGGTATGCCACATGCTACACTTAATATGCAATTATAATTCAGAAAGCTGAAATATTGAGGTGACTGCTGTTATGGGCTGGCTGACACCTTCTGAAGATTGCCGTATATACATAATCGTGTATAAGTTGACTCATGTATAAGTTGGGGAAAGGTTTTGATGCCAAAATTATAGATTTTGATATGACTGGTGGATATGATTCATGTCATTCTGCTGAGGAAAAGCACCAATGCCTCCATAGGAGGCTTAACAGTCAATGGCCACTACATTTTCCTCATCAAGGTACTCAGAAAGTCCAGAATTAGTACCATGGTGGAGAGAGGATAAGGGAGCCAATGTTTCTTTTAGGTTTTCCTGGGATGGAGTAAGCTCTTGCCTTTTGTCAATCTACTCAGAAAAGGGAATTATTTCTTTTTTGGTATGAATAAAAGTACAGTACTCACACTGACTCATAGATAAGTCAACTTAGGTTTTAGGGATTGATTTTTCTGATCACCGGGCCCCATCTCCAAGATACCCAATTATTATGTTGTTGTTTGCTGTTGTTATGTGCCTTCAAGACAATTCCAACTTAGAGATGCAAAGATGATCCTATCATGGGATTTTCTGAGGCTACGTGTGTCACTTCCTCAAGATCACCCAGGGGATTTTCATAGTTAAATAAGGATTTGTTCTCCAGAGTCAGTCAATGTTTATTTCCATATTAATTCCATTAGCTTTCGGGTTGGGGGGGGGGGGATGTCCCATTAGGATATTCATCCCTTTTAGGCTGATGGTTTGAGCACTGGTGATACAGTTGGTTTCGGGACCAGACAGCCTTGAAAATAAAATAAAATAAAATAAGAAGGAAACTGGATTTTCTCCTAGGCTCTATTGCTATTGTAGTTACATTCCTGCCATAGATATGCAAAACACTAACATTCAAGATGAACTATGGTATACTGTATTATCAAGTCATGCCATTTTTCTGAAACCCACAAAGATAAAAATAAAATCTCAGGTGCAGAAATTAATCTTTCAGAAACTCAAAGATTCAAGTGACATAATTTTCAAAGATACACATATTATTTATATTTAATTACTGTATATTGGCAATTCACAAGTTACAAATATCCGACTTACAAACAACTCATAGTTAAGAAGGGTGGGGGTGGGAAGTGAGAGAAATGTACCCCTAGGAAGAGAAATTTACTCCTGAAAGAGTTATCATGGGGAAAAGGTGTCTCCACTGAAATGTATTGTTTCCACAACAAGCGAGTTTTCAAAATCCAAATATCACAGGGACAGAAAGTGAGGTGGCATATTCTGAATAGGGGCAGAGTCAGCAAAACAAATACCACAGGGTGTTAACCTTTCTCTATGCTATCCAAACCTAATATGTATATTTGGCTGGATTTACACTTTTAAAAGGTACCTGTTCTGACTTACAAATAAATTTAGCTTAAGAACAAACCTACAGAATCTATATTGTTTATAACTCTAGGAGTGCCTGTATACTCATATATATGTTTAGAAATTGTAATCAAAAAATCAACCCACCCAACCACACACACCCCAAAATGGGTCAACTTATCCATGAGTCAATGTAACTCTATTCAAAGAAGGGAATGATTCCTTTTTTAAATAAAAATTAATATGGCATCTTAACTTTTCTTTACACAAAATGATCCTTGACGTATCGGCTTGTTTTATAAAATTCATAATTATACCCCTCAAACAGACTCTCTACTTATAGATGAAGACAACCTATACCCAAGTATGTATGGGAATGTGATCCAAAATTAATATGGTATACCATGCATACAAGTTCCAATATTTTCAGTGTTGACATAAAGGTTACGATCAAGGTGGCCTGGTCATTACCTACTCTTTTAAATTTCTAATTGAAAAAAAAATTGAACAAATTCCTATGCACACTGTATATATTTTGTTTGTAGTGAAAAAAGAAAGAAAGAAGAATACAATATTTAAAATGAAGAACAATTTTAACCAATATAAATGTAAAATATTTTTGTGGAAGACCCCGGGGACCTGCCAGTCCAACCCCCTTCTGCCATGCAGGAAAAGCACAGTTAAAGTACCCCCAAAAATGGCCATCCAGTCTCTGCTTAATGATAAGTAGTAGTAGTAGTAGTAGTAGTAGTAGTAGTAGTAAGAGCAACCCCAGGGGACATCCAGTCCTACCCCATTATTCTGCCATGAGGAAAAGCACAAAGTACCTCCAACATATGGCCACCCAGACTTTATAACAACAACAACAACAACAACAACAACAACAACAACAACAACAACAACAACAACAACAACAACATGAGTCTAACAACATTCTGCCATGCACAAAAAGCACAATCAAAGCAACAACAATAATAAGAGCAACCCCAGGGGCTGTCCTGTCCCATGCCATTTTGTCATAAAAGGAAGGCTTTGTAGGCCATGGCGGCGGCAGCAGCAGCAACAAGGTACTGCCCACGGCATGAGCTTTATATGCAGAAGAGGGGGGGGGGGCCCTGTGAGCCCCTCACTGAGAACAGTTTGAGAATCACTGGTCTAGTCAAATCTTCTTTCCACAGATAGTTCCTGTAACAATGCAGAACACAGATAATGGTGCTTTTATTCTCACTTTCAAGGAATACAAATATATGTTCACTTTTCACTGCCATCAACCAAGGACCTCTTCTTCTGTAATATATAAATATTTGTCTTCATTTTTGTTTGTTCCTGAGAATATACCAAAGCTTAAGCTTGTGGAGAATTCTATGACTGTGTATTGTCAAAGGCTTTCATTGCTGGAATTACTGGGTTGTTGTAGGTTTTTTCGGGCTATATGGCCATGTTCTAGAATCATTCTCTCACAATCTCTGCTTGCTATTGATGCAGGTGAAACGTCAGGAGGGAATGCTTCTAGAACATGGCCATATAGCCCAAAAACCTACAACAACCCAATTCTATGACTCTCTGTATTCCTATTTATCCACTTATGCTGCACTATCAGGTTCTGCACAGGTAGCAAAACTATAAATCGCTGATCATGCTAGTTTTTATTTGTAAAATGTTATACTACTTGATCTCAGACTATCCAAGGATGCTGCTCTCAAAAATGAAAAGATTTTCTTAAAATTATGGAATTCTTCACACAAAATCCTAATAATCTTTTAGAAATATTGTAAGAGCTCATATGACTAGTTTTCTGTGACTGATGTGGACTAGGTTGGGTAACAGGAATTGTTTTATTACATGGGATAAGTACTTACTTTACTTACTTAGGCGATCCCTCACTTTCCGAGGATGATTGTCTTCCAATATTCTTGTGGGTCCGTATGTGGCTGGGGAGCCCTATTCTTGCTCTGCATCTTCTTCCGCAGTGAGGGCATTGGTTTCCAGGTGGAAGGCGGTCTCGGCCGGGGTTGGCTTGACGCGCCTTCCTCTTGGCACGTTTCTCTTTTTCACCCTCCATTCGTGCCTCTTCAAATTCTGCAGCACTGCTGGTCACA